ACCTTTTTGACATTTTTTTTTTTTTTTTTTTTTTTTGAAACATGGAGCAGCCTACCTGCCGAACACCGAACGAACCTTTTGCTATTAAAAAAAATGAAAAAAATATTGAACAAATTTGAAGAAAGAAAAATGTCATAAAGGTTTGTTCAGTGTATGTAAGGTAGGCTGCTCCATTATTTAAAACATCGGATATTATTGGTTACCTTCTTGGATGTATGGTTGTTGATGGATTGTAGATAATACACCGTAGATCACTTCAGCAGTTTATTGAGGAAGGTAACAAAGTATATATCTGGCCTGCTGAGGTCCTACCTACTCTGAGGTCTGTGAGATACTGACTGGTCACCAGAACGGCTGGTACCAGCTCTCTGTGGAGAATGACGTCAGAGGCTTACTTGATTTGTGATTGGCTATCCCCAACCGTCGTACAATTTGAATACTAACAATATCGTATTCATGTTTTTCGGTGGTAGAACGGATTAATTTGATTTTCATTATTGTCAATTTGATGCATTAACATTATGCATTAACATTATGCATTAACAAGCATTAACCAAGTAAATTCAGTAGAATATCTGGTTGCAATTCTTATACCATGTCATAGCTCAGTCGATTAAAGCAGTGTCTGGGATGCTCTTGGATGTTGGTTCAAATCCTCGTCACTGCCCTAGTGGATTTGTTCATTTGATGTATCAAGCTATTGTGATTTCTGTGTGTAATGAAGTAAGGGCGAAGAGGTAGAATGGCCTATTGACATAGCTGTCAATATTGAGGAAGGCTATTAGCCAGGAAGCACCTGGCTAATACAGTAATATCAGAAAGAATACCAGGAAGTAGCCTAAATGAGCAGGCACATGCAAATGACCTGCTACGGATGTGCGATAGGTTTGCCTTAAACCAGCAAATAGTAGAACCAACTAGGAAGGAGAACACGCTGGACCTCATTTTCACTAATAATGATGAGTTGATCGGGAACATAATGATTACAAATACCTGTTACTCAAATCACAACTTAATTGAAGTTCTGACAACCATGGGGAATGGACCTTCAAAACCAGTCCAGATCCCCGGTGGAGGAGATTTCAGCAAATTCAACTTCAATAATAAACGGATAAACTGGGAGCAAATAAACCAGGACTTCACAGAAATAAACTGGGAAGAACAGCTAGGAAATGCAAACCTGAACCAGTGCCTGGAAAAAATAAGCTCAGTAGCACTAGAGATATGTTCAAACCGCATACCCCTAAGAAAAAAGAGAAAGAGATGCAGATTGGAACGGGAACGTCGTTCCCTATATAGGCGAAGAAAACGAATCGCGGAACAACTTGAGAGTCGCACCCTATCTCAAGAACGGCGAAGAAGGTTAGGTAGAGAAATAGAAACAATTGAACTCAAGCTACAAGAATCATACAAAACCCAGGAGAGGCAAAGAGAGCAAAAGGCCATCAGTGAAATAGAGAGAAATCTGAAATATTTTTTCTCCTATGCAAAATCAAGATCAAAAACCACATCTAGTATCGGGCCCCTGCGAAAGGGAGATGGAACTTTCACAGATGACAACAAAGAAATGAGCGAGTTACTGAGGAAGCAGTACGACTCTGTTTTCAGTGAGCCATTAAATGCATTAAAGATTGATAACCCAAATGAATTTTTCATGGATATGATACCAACATCAAATCATATATCAGACGTCGCCCTATCCCCACTAGATTTTGAAGAAGCCATAAACAGTATGCCTATGCACTCTGCACCAGGCCCGGATTCTTGGAACTCCATATTCATCAAGAACTGTAAAAAAACACTATCGCAGGCCCTTCACATTCTGTGGAGACAAAGCCTAGATACTGGCGTTATCCCTGACATACTAAAAACAGCAGAGATAGCACCACTCCATAAAGGAGGAAATAAGGCAGAGGCAAAAAATTACAGACCGATAGCACTAACATCGCACATCATAAACATTTTTGAGAGAGTGCTAAGAAGTAAGATCACAAAATACATGGAATCACAGCATCTCCATAACCCCGGACAACATGGTTTCAGAACAGGGCGCTCTTGCCTGTCGCAGTTGCTGGACCACTATGATATGGCATTAGATGCTATGGAAGACAAACAAAACGCTGATGTAATTTACACAGATTTCGCAAAAGCTTTTGATAAATGTGACCATGGTGTTATTGCACATAAAATGCGTTCAAAAGGAATTACCGGGAAAATAGGCAGATGGATCTACAATTTCCTGACTGACAGAACCCAATGTGTAATAGTCAACAAAATAAAATCCAGCCCATCAACCGTGAAGAGCTCAGTCCCCCAGGGTACTGTGCTTGCTCCAGTACTTTTTCTCATCCTCATATCGGACATAGACCAGAACACAACCTATAGCACTGTATCATCCTTTGCAGATGACACTAGGATTTTCATGAGAGTTGGCAACATAGAGGACACGGCAAACCTCCAATCAGATGTAGATCAGGTCTTTCTATGGGCTACAGAAAATAATATGGTATTCAACGAGGATAAGTTTCAGCTCATGCGCTACGGAAAAATTGAAAATATAAAAACAGAAACCACGTACAAAACGCAGGCAAATCATAACATAGAACGAAAAGGCAATGTAAAGGACCTGGGTGTACTCATGTCGGAAGACCTTACCTTTAAAGAACACAATAAAGTAGCCGTCACAACTGCAAGAAAAATGACAGGTTGGATAACAAGAACTTTTCACACTAGAGATGCTATACCGATGATGATACTTTTCAAAACGCTTGTGCTCTCTAGAGTGGAGTACTGCTGCACAATGACAGCCCCTTTCAAAGCTGGAGAAATTGCTGACCTGGAGAGCGTGCAGAGATCCTTTACTGCTAGAATCCACTCAGTAAAACATCTAAATTACTGGGACCGACTAAAGAGCCTAAATCTGTACTCCCTTGAGCGCAGGCGGGAGAGATACATAATAATTTACACGTGGAAAATAATTGAGGGGCTGGTCCCAAACCTGCACACAGAAATAACACCACATGAGACCAGAAGACATGGCAGGATGTGCAGAATACCCCCGTTGAAAAGCAGAGGTGCAACAGGTACTCTGAGAGAGAACTCTATCAACATCAGAGGCCCGAGACTGTTCAACACGCTTCCACTACACATAAGGGGCATAACTGGCAAACCCCTCACAGTGTTCAAGAGAGAACTGGATAAGCACCTCCAAAGGATACCTGATCAACCAGGCTGTGACTCATACGTCAGGCTGCGAGCAGCCGCGTCTTAACAGCCTGGTTGATCAGTCCAGCAACCAGGAGGCCTGGTCGACGACCGGGCCGCGGGGACACTAAGCCCCGGAAGCACCTCAAGGTAGCCTCAAGGTAGCTCGAGTGCATGGGGGAATTGTGTAAAATCCTGGTTTGTGTCTTGGAGAGGCTGCAAGATTCAAGTAAATTCAGTAGAATTTCTGGTTGCCATTCTTATACCATGTTGTAGCTCAGTCAATTAAGGCAGTGTCTGGGATGCTCTTGGACGTCGGTTTGAATCCTCGTCACGCCCTTGTGGATTTGTTCATTTGATGCATCACGCTATTGTGATTTGTGTGTGTAGTGTAGTGGAAAGACATTTTACTAAATAGTTTCTAAAACTGAAAAAGAAAGAGCTAAAGGAGTGGCTGACGGTGATATGCCAAAGTTAGAAGGTATATAGAAAAGAGACAATATGATCACCACTTACAAAGTAGTGACAGAAGTCAATGCAGTTAACAAAGAGGAGTTTTTTTGAAACATGCAACCAAGAACAAGAGGACTGATTCAAGCTAAGGAAAACAAAGATGCTGATAAAATGTATGAAAATTCTCTTACGTGAACAGAGTTGTAAATGGTTGAAACACTTCGAGTGATGGTTACTAAAAACTAGCAACAATTCCAAAGTGTTATATGATAAAAATTACTGGGAAGATGGGACATCATGAGCAGTGCTCTTATTCTGAATATACTGTACGTACAGGATTGTAACCATAGTTCATTCTCATAGGGGAAAATAATTTTTAAATTAAATGTTAAATGTAATAAATCTCAATGTAAATAAAAACTTTACTTTGCAATGCTTTCGGGATTCAACGTACCAGCGGCCCAGTCCCGAACCAGGCCTAGTTTCTGGACTGGTCAACCAGGCTGTTGGATGCAGCTGCATGAATCACAGCCTGGTTGATCAGGTATCCTTTGAAGCTGTTTATCATGTTTTCTCTTGAACACTGAGGGGGTCAGTCAGTTTTGCCCCTTATTTGTAGTGGAAGCATGTTGAATAGTCTCGGGCCTCTGATGTTGATAGTTCTCTCTCAGAGTACCTGTTACACCTCTGCTTTTCAATGGGGGTATTCTGCACATCCTGCCATACCTTCTGGTCTCATGTGATATTATTTCTGTGTGCAGGTTTGGGACCAGCCCCTCTAATATTTTCAACATGTAAATTATTATGTATCTCTCCCACTTGCATTCAAGAGAATACAGATTTAGGCATTTTAGTCGGTCTCAATAGTTTAGATGTTTTACCGAGTGGATTCTAAAGTCTAGCAGTAAATGATCTCTGCATGCTCTCCAGGTCAGCAATTTCTCCAGCTTACAGATGAAGTAATAAATAAACTAAAGATTAAGTTTTTCTTCAAAGGAGAATGAGAATTTGTTAAAGTATGTATGTACATATAGTTTGTATATGTGTTAAGTGTGTACCAGAGATATTTTTTATTTGTATAAAACTTTTTAATATTGATGTACTCTACTGTAGGCTAGTAGATGAAACACTGTAAAATATAGCATATACACCAGTTTGTACACAAATTAAAAATTTTCAGCTATGTACTAGTTATGATTATCATGCAATATTGTACCATATAGATTTTTCATAAAATTTTTGTAATATGCATTGTTGATTTTTGTCCTAATGTTAAAAACCATTATAATAGGTGTATCAGCTTATAATTTAATCACCTAAAATACATTGCACTGTCCCAACAGAGGAATTCCGTCCTGAGGAGTCTTCCGATGATGACGAGGGAACAATTGCTCGAGAGGATGACAATCCAGAAGAGCAAGCTTCAGAACTGCAACTATTACACGAGGAGTCTAAACAGACACTGGAAGATTTGTTAAAGGATCTTCCACCTGGCTATCTAGAGGGAGGGGATATTTCCTTGGACAACAGCACAGAAAACTTGGATTCTTTAGGGGAGTGTCCGGACAGTGTTGAGGAGAAAGATGAGGAAAAGGTGAAGGAAGAAGTGATAGGACACGAGGTGACTATTGAGAAAGACGAAAAAGATGTAGATAGTGTAAGTGATAAAAAAAATGTTAGAAATATTAAAAGAAGAAAAGTGAAACTCAGGACGGGTGATAATATTAGTGAGATTGACAAAGATGAAGATCAAGACTTTAAAGTCGAAGAGTCAGACGAAGACAATGAGGACACAATTGAGGAACAGGAAAAGAAAGAAGAAGAAACAGACCACCAACAAGAAATAAATGAATTGCAGGTATGTGTTGCTATCTATATATATTAATATCTAAATATAAACATTATTGTGTATTGCACAGGCTTTATTAACCCTTAAATGGCGCATAGCTATATACCATTTGACACCCACAGGCGCATACCAAAAAAATAAATTTTTTTTTTTTTTCTTCCTAACCTGTTAATTTGTATTCACTGATCACGGGAAAAATAATAAAAAAATCATAAGTGGCATATATTGCCCACTATAGGGCGAGGAATTCTGGCAAAAATCAGGCGCTGACTGAGCGTGCGTCCCAGGCGGTCTGTTGATCGCCAGCTGTCAGGCCAGAGTTTCCACAAAGAGATAATTACCTAATTATTTCAATGTCTCTGATTGATTTTTCGTAGTTTTTTTGCTGTAATATTATTCAATAGTGTGTAGTGTGATATATTTATATAATAAAATGAGTGAATCATCACTGTACTCAAAAATATGGTGTCATATTGTTGATTCAATTATGTTCATCAAACAGTGAACAAATACTTTGTCGGTTATTACACTATATACACAGGTTATATATAAGTATCTGCATGTTTTGTTCACCATGACGAACCACTAAGTTGGTATGCTAAGTGGCAGTGACTGGCTGCCACTGGCTGCCACTCCCTCCCTCACCTCACCTGACTTGCCACCATTCTCCACCCACCATACTGTTTTTGCCTTTATATACAGACGTTATATATAAGTATTTACATGTTTTGTTCACCATAACTGTACATCTAAGCTTGTATGGTGAGTAAAGGCTCAAAGACGTAGCTACTCACACAGTCAGCTGGTGGCGGCCGCCCTCAAGGCCAGACGCACTAATATTTCTCCAACAACAATACTGTTTGTGGTGTTATTACGCTATATACACACATTATATATAAATATCTATCTGTTTTATTCACCATACTTGTACAAGTAAACTGGTATGGTGCCCAAAGACCATCGTGTCATCAGTAAACATGATAAGTCCTGCAGACGACGCTCCTCCCTCACCAAAATGGCGGCTCCCAACCTTCTACTCTCGCTGTTATCTCACACTATACACACGTTATATATAAGTATCTATGTTTGTGTTCACCATAGCGAACCACTAAGGGTGGTATGGTGAGTGCAGTCAATAAAAGGTGGCCACACACACTCAAAAGACAACGCCACCATCCTCTCTCCCACAGCATTACTCCTCCCTCCATGGCGCACAGCGCCAAATATCACCACAATCCTGCTATTATCAGAACCCTGGTCAGTTTTATCGCAGTCAGGGGTCTTCTGTAATAATATCATCGCTACATAAGAGCATGAACAAGTATATTATGGCATTTTTAGGCGATGCTGTGGTCACAAGCTGAACAGCAGTGCTGTGAGTTCATGCTGCGTGCGTCAGGCTTGGTAGCTGACTCAATACTGAGGCCCCTAACACCCGGGAGTTTGGCCCATGATTTTTTTTAAAAATGGCGTCTGTTTACAAGAGCCCTGATGAAGGTGTGGTGAACCCCGTGTATCCGCGGGCCGTTTAAATCTTGCGTAGTACTCCAAAGCATCACATGATGCGATGCGCAATTTACTGCAAGTCGGTCAAAGCATCATATGATGCGATGCGCAATTGAAGGGTTAACTAATGTTTCAAATGATATCTCTTATGATTTTCTGAAGCAATTTGAATGCATTCAATTGCCTTGTAAAAAAACATAAAAACCATAATGGAGTGGATGCACCTGTGTGTGTGTGTGTGTGTGTGTATATATATATATATATACTGTATATATATATCGTACCTAGTAGCCAGAATGCACTTCTCAGCCTACTATGCAAGGCCCGATTTGCCTAATAGGCCGAGTGATTTTTATTATTTTCAATAAAATGGGCGTTCTGGGCCCCCGAGCGCCCCACTACCTCAGTTGGGTTTAGGCATTCCGCGGGAGCGCGAGGGAGAGCGCGGTAAATTCTGAAAAGTGTATAATCTTTTCAACTTTGTCAGCTCAATTCTCGTCCTAAGATATTCAATTTGGTATCACTGTGTTCGCAATAGAATTCTCTAGAGGACTAAATGCATATAAACTCAAAAAGCCTGGCTTACCATCTGCAACTAACAGAGAAAGTGAGAGAAAGTTACTTGGGAGTGCACAAGAGTGATAAAATGTTTACACTCTTTTCAGTTTTGTTAACTCAATTCTCGTCCTAGGTCTTTCATTTTGGTATCAATGTGTTCGCAATAGAATTCCCAACGGGACTATATGCATATAATGTCAAAAACAGCAGCGATCTCCACCCGCCGACGTGATGAAAACAGGCCGCGGTTACAAGAAAGAGAGCGCTGCGCCACCCCAAGGCGCCTCTCATTAAGAAAAGTGTATATTCTTTTCAACTTTGTCATCTCAATTCTCGTTCTAGGTTTTTCAGTTTGGTATCAATGTGTTTGCAATACAATTCTCTACCGGACTAAATGAATATAAATCCCAAAAGCCCGGCGAGAAAGTGAGAGCGTCTTACCCGGGAGCGAGCAAGAGCTCTCTCTCTTCACTTTGGACATCTCAATTCTCGTCCTAGGTTTTTCATTTTGGTATCATTGTGTTCGCAATAGAATTCACAACTAGGGAGGTGGTGATCTTTGGGGGGTTTAAATACCCCAAAATTACCATATCTTTTAGGGGTCTGAGTTTGGTGCAGTGGGTTAAAGGCGTACCTGTTATGCCAGTGGCTGTGAGGCTTCTGTGCTGGCTAGAGTTCAAGTCTCCTGGTGGGAAAGTGTTCTAAAGTTGTAAAACTTCAGTTGCGTGTTTAGGCAAGATAGTTTATTTGAATTATTATTATTATTTTATATTAAGACCATAATTTATTGACTTAGTTGTGTTAGTTTAGGTTAGGTTAAGATAGGTTAGGTTAGGTTAGGTAGGGTTGGTTAGGTTCGATTATATATCTACGTTAGTTTTAACTCAAATTTAAACGAATTAACTTATACATAATGAAATGGTCAGATTTATCATTTCATAAGAAAACATTTGGAAAAATTTATAAATTCAGGACAAATTAGCTTATTAGGCAAATCTGGCCTTGCATAGTAGGCCAAGTACAACGTTCTGGCTACTAGGTACAACATATATATATATATCTTTATCTTTATCTTTCTGCTGTACAGTATTGGGTTTGGTGGAATGTGGGCCTTTACTCTCTGGCTTCATGCCTTATACTGTATTAGGTTAGGTTAGATTAGATTAGGTCTAGTGGAATATGGGTGGCTGACTAGGCACATTCATTTTTCTCTCACAGCAGAAAATAATGTTTTGGCTATATGTTAAGTAACATAGTTTACTGCCTCTGTAGCTCCATAATCAACCTTACCATAAATATACTAAAAGAGTGACAAAGTCCTACATGAGCCGAGACCTGTTGTTATGACAGTGTTTTTAGTGCTCTGATCATATCTGAAAGGTCTGATATATATATGTAATCATTGAATATGTTCAGCCACGTCCAGTTTCTGCATGAGAGGATTTAACACCACTACTACCTCAAAAGATAAATATTAGAAATATTGAGGCCAGTATTTTTATATTTAATTTGCAATTGACACAAAGGCCCAACTTTCACACTAATTTATTACGTGTTGCTTGTGCTAGCTAGCAATGGAATTTTTTTCCATTAAAGCGTTTTAGTTCCATAAACTATGCTTGTTTATTTTCCTTGTAACTATTAAATCAGTCTTCTCTGATATTGTTGGGTTCTTGAATGTTTTTTGTTAAATTCAAGGGATTCAAAAGAAGAAAGATTTTATGGACCGACAATTTAGTTTGTACGTTTAACCCCTGCACTGCACGTTAAATTTGACTCGTGTAGTTCATAGAACATAATTTGTCCTGAATATTTTTTTTCATTTGACATTGTTAATTATAATCCAGGAAGCTCAGAAATCCAAGTAAAAGTCTCCACCTCTTGTGGTTTACCTGTAGTAGCACAGAGGAGTAGTGTTTTTTCCATAGAAATTAAGTTAGGTGCTGCATAGGACTAATTTTGTACCTTTATTTTCATTGTTGCTCACTTTTAGTTTTTTGTTCTAACAAGTTGTATTGATATGCCAAACATGGTGTTCATTATGTATAATTTTTAAAATATATGTATGTACAGATGTGTGATATGTGTCACATATATATATGTGACACTATTTGTATGCTACTGTTAAAAAGTTCAATGGCTCTATGGCTGCCTTGCACATTCAGACTCTGGATGGTGATGTGCCAGATGTGGTCCTCATCATTTTACTAAGGTCCTAGAAGAAAAGTGAGGGACTAAGGATTATTTCTCAAGATGGTTACTGGTAAATCAAATGTGCAAACACTAGGGGTTTGCACACTTGATTTAAACAATATGCCGAGGTTGGCATTCATGTTTACTGGGCTGTGTCAGTCTACTTTTATATTTCTTTGGGAGTGTCCTGGATGCTCCCTAAGAAATATAAAAGTGCCTGGATGTCCTGTTTGATCAGTCGTTCGGGACCTGGTTATCCCCTGTGGGTTTTGGTGTAGCCAATGGATATCCCCCTCCAACTGCTCTCACCTTATGTGAGTTTGAGGGCTGTTCGTCATTCATGCCATGGAGCAATGATCATTCTTTCAGCCTCTGCTATGCTGCCTATTGTGTTGGTGACAGCTATAACCTTGAGTCCTGTGGACTTTGTTCCCCCAATGTGGCTCATCTCTCCGACCCTCTGGAGATAGCCCCTTCCACTTCGGGTGTGAAGGCAGTTGAGTCATGTAGTCCTGTCGAGGGTTAGGGCTTTCCTTTTCCCAGACAATTCCACACTCTGAAACATTTCCTCTGGACTCCTTCTCTGTCCTCGGCAATTGGTGTGGACACTGGTTCTGCCCCAGAGTCCATACCCATGTTTGGCTTCCAAGGTTAGGGGTAGTTCGATAGGGGTCGAACTATTGGGATAGGGGGTTTTGTATTTGTTGCTGTCTTACCATGCTTTTCATACAGTTTGCCTTATTGTTGTATTGATCTTTGATTCCTATGTGCTGCCTGTCTTGAAAAGGGGTGGTGGGTTATTTTGACCAATAATGGCTAGAGCATAATCACTGGAGAACTAGTGAGGCTTTGCCCTGAAAGAGACATTTCATTACAATTAATGCTCTTATTGTTGTCAGTACAGGTATTGACATTGACACTTAAAAATTAGATCTCAAACTATATATCTAATATTTAGAAAAATTATATCTGGTTCTAATAAATGCATCACCAGCTTTAATGTTGATTTACTATAGCAGATAGTTTTGATATTTATTTCAGGCTGAAAATGAACTATCTGTGGAAGAGTTAAGAAAGAAGTATGCAGAATTAGCTGCTAATGCTGAGCCTATGGAAGAAGAAGAGTCTGAAGATGATAGTAGTGAGGATGAAGAAGAGGATGATGTCAATGATGATGAAGAGATGGTTGTTGAAGAACGAGAAGATGAAGGGAAACAGGAATCAGAGAAGGAAGATGAGTGTAGTGATGGAGATGAAGAGATGCCCAGTGATGAGGAAGAGGAGGAGGATCTAAGTTTGGGCTTGGAAACTCTTATGAAAGAAAATCTTGAAAAGGATTCTAAGGTTGACAGTGAAAAGGCAGATAAGGAATTGCAGGATGCTTCAGCTGTAGCAGAAGCTTTGCAGCCAAAGGGCTTTACATTGTCATCTACTTCTGTCACTACACCCATCCCTGTGTTGCTCAAGCATACGTTGCGAGAGTACCAGCATGTGGGTTTGGACTGGCTCACCACCATGTTTGAAAAGAAGCTAAATGGTAATATAACTTTGTTATTCTTATGGAAGTTTTGTTAAATAAATTTGGACTAAATTGTTAAACAGAATTTTCTTTTATGCAACCTGATATTGATTTGTAGTATGTTAATTTTCATAGGTATACTTGCTGATGAGATGGGCTTGGGGAAAACTATTCAGACCATCTCCCTTCTGGCACACCTTGCTTGTGAAAAGAGCAACTGGGGACCTCACCTGATTGTAGTGCCAACCTCTGTCATGCTCAACTGGGAGATGGAGTTCAAGAAGTGGTGCCCAGCCTTCAAGATACTCACATATTATGGCACCCAAAAAGAAAGAAAGATGAAAAGGCAAGGTGAGATATACTGCTATCCCTGATTTATAATTAAAACAATAGTAGAATTTTTTCATGGATCCAAGTTGACTAAATTACATCCATATAGATTTATTATATCCATGTATATACATCATTTGCTTAAAAATTATGGCTTTCAATTTGAAATCATTTGTATCCCTTAATTTTACAGTATGTTCAGCTACTAATCCCTTGTTTTCTACATTTATGCTGTTTCTGTTAAAAGGAATAACATCTATTGTTTCTGTGCACATAGTGTTCTTAAATCATCAGTTGTGTTTCTAATACTCCCACTATTTGGCCCTTTAAACTGGTATTCAGTAGTCAGCACAATAGATTATTTGCCTATTATTTACAATGTGTTGTTCACGAACATGGGGACACAATTGACTTAAATTGCCCAAATAAGCCACGGAGACATGGAAAGAATTTTATTCATTGGCAGAATGGTGAACAAATAGAATGCACTTAAAAATGCATTCCATTTGCACTTTTGTTAACCTGTTCTTTTAGGTTAAAAGAACAGACTCCACACACAGCTTCAAATGTAGATATGATAGAGCCTAATGAACTTGGTAACCTGTGCACTAGTTGAGGGAAGGTTGAATCTCTGGACCAAAATGCTGAAGTTTAATCTTCTCAAGGACGACGATTAGGCACACTATCTCCTTCTCGGCCAAAGGCAGAAAACAGTTTTGAGGCAGGTCATGGAAAGTGTTAGGGGTATAGAGGTTCCTGTTATTGACAGGTCAGGCAAAAAAATGTAACAGAGTAAACAAATTGACAAAGGAAATAGAAATATATATGGTGGCAATGAACCTAAAGTTTCCCAGAGTAGCCAGAAATAAGGAATTGATTAAGAAAGTGATTAGGGAGGCCACAGACTGCATCTTCCAGATGAAGATAAATTTTAAAATCATAATGTAATTGATAAATACAAAAGTGTAACAATACAATACATTGAAGCAAGCCTAATAAATTTTTGATCTAAAGAAAAAGAAATAGCATTGAAGATAAGAAAGGTTACACAAAATGAAAGAAAAAGCTTTAAGGTAATTGTAGGTGTAGAAGAATGGCTCTTCTCACAATATAAGAAAATAATATATATTAGGCTACAGGATAATCTGAAGGTATGAGAAAGGAAAGAATTACTCCTGCAAGACAATTCTGAATTGGAACATGACCAGAAAATTTGGCAGACATCACAAGCATAAGCAATCAAATGTATGTCTGGAAATTACTCAACACGGAGTGCCTTCAGACAAGCAAAGAAGTCAGAGAACAGCAAGGACTGCAAAAAGGTCATTTAAAAGTTAAAAACTCAGAATATCATTGAGTATTAAATCACTCCAGTGTACAAAAGCTAAATAACTTCTGAAAGTTGCTGGAACACACAGACCCTGAGTCAATTCCCATGTTGACCAGATATAAATATATCTGGTCAATATGCAGTTCGTATTATGTTCTGTCTTATCTGACTCCTCTCTCCTTACCTCAGAAGGCCACCTGCCCTCGGTGCTCTACTTTTAGCTCCTTTCAATCTGCAGTCTACTCTTTTTATTCCCATTTACTGGATGGAATTAATAGCTCTGCTAGTTAGGTTCTACATTACCTAATATTTTGGTCACAGCATGTGTTTATGTCTGTAGGCCCATACTGTATTGAGTTATCCAAAATTTGGACAACAGAATACATCAATGATATCATTTTTCAGGTTGGACAAAACCAAATGCATTCCATATTTGTATTACATCATACAAGCTGGTGATTCAGGACCACCAGAGCTTTAGAAGGAAGAAGTGGAAGTATTTCATCCTTGATGAAGCTCAAAATATAAAAAACTTCAAATCTCAACGTTGGCAGTTGTTGCTAAACTTTCAAAGCCAAAGGTATGTTTTAGGTAATACTTTATAATATAATGACATTTCAGGTTATGAAAATTTAGTTCCAGGTTATGATATTTAATTCTATACTGTAGTCCTGTATGTACAATTTATGACTATGTGTCCAAGGCAGGACAATAATACTGTATCAAATGCTAATATATTGGTTTCCTTTATTTTAAAGACTTGGTAGCTTGCTAGTCAAGCTTTTAAAACGAAGCATTTTTTTTATTCACTTTTATTTGGCACATTTTGTAACAGTCTCAGTAAACATGGCTGTGGATATATAACTTGGGTGTGCTGTAGTGCTGATTCACCTAGATGCTCGTAAATATTGTTGTTATTAACAAAGAATTTACTGTACTTTCTTCAAAAAATTCCTTTCTATTCCAATGCATTTTTATTTTTTCATTTATTTTTGTTTTGTTTATACTAAAACCCTGTTTTCATACATCCTTTCCCAGCTAAGTGTTCATGAAATGGGAAATAGGGTAATATAGGATTAGGAAGAGATTTGTTTTGCTGTCTCCAGTTTTCTTTGGTGCATATGTCAAATTATTTATTATCTTCCCATATATTCAATCCTGGCACAGCAACCATTAATAATCATTAATGCTGTGGCCATTTAAACACGCTGAAATGAAGCCAAGAGGCACCATCACACCCCTTGTGTGTCCCCTCTGGCTGCATCAAATATCAGTACTATCGCACACCCTTTATGCAGTCCTCTGACATTTGACAGTGAACTGCATCTGCATCCTGTCATTTAGCTCCATATATTCATGCTTCTTTAAACTTCAGTTTTTATACAAGTCTTAACAAAATTCTTTATTTGGTTTTCCTATACTGTTCATTTTAATGTAGGAATTTTTTTATACTGCATAAATATTTAGCAAATTGTGTTCAGAACTTCCTATGTATAATTTGTATTAATTACATTATGTCTCCTATTTTACAGACGCTTATTACTTACGGGAACTCCGCTTCAAAACAACTTGATGGAGCTCTGGTCACTGATGCACTTCCTAATGCCTAATGTTTTTGCCTCCCATCGGGAGTTTCGTGAATGGTTCTCTAATCCAATGACAGGCATGATCGAGGGGAATAAGGAGTACAATGACACCATCATTAAAAGATTACACAAGGTAAATTAAATGCTGGTAGAGATGTTCTGACACCATTTTGACCTATGTTAATCACTGCCTTTGTTCACTTGAAGCCAAGATATGTATTATTCCATCAAATGATCTATATGGATGGTATAGGGCTGCTTTTAAGTAATAAAAAGAGGTTAAGAATGGAGTAAAGTAATAATATCACTCACATTTATGTAGAGGAAACTGGAAGAATACATAGTTAATAGTGAGGGAGGGAATTTTCAGGAGAAAGGGCAAAGCCATTAAGACTACAGTATACAGCACTTGAAAAGAGTCAGTATAAGAATTTGGGATGGGACCGGGGGGGGGGGGACGTCATCTTCACCTTCGTCCAACCATTTGGACATCAGTATCAGTACCCAGGTACTGAACAATGACCTGCATGAAGCCAGACTGTCGCTTAGATAAGAGTGATTGAAGGCCAAAATGGTTATGTAGCTAGATTTTGTAGAATTAAAATGTTAAATGAGTATTAGAAATGATACTTGTAAAATAGATGCAGGAAAGTGAAAAACAATTAACAATATATTAAAAAATTGGAAGTTTAGGTCCAGTTTTTTCATATACTGTATTATTAATTGCTTTTCACTTGCATGTACAGTATCAGTTTCACAGGTGTGACTGGCCTACCGGCCAGCCTGCCAGGCAGCAACCAGTCCTTCCACCCACGCTGTCTGCCCACTAGCCAGCCAGTCCACTTGCCCACCCACCATCCACCTTGTTGTTTTCCTAAATATGACTAAACAGTTACCGACATTTAACATTCTGGATTTAGCGGACTCCCGAATACAACGTGGGTACAGCTCCATATAGGTCATTAAATTGAGTGGATACTGTATTAAGAATGCATAACAGTGTTTGAGAGAATGCACGAATTGAGTGAAATTAAAGTTTGAATGGGGAATATTAAATTGGGGTAATGTACCGAGATGCCAATGTAGATATGTCTGTGTAAAAAATTACTTTGTGTAATATTCTGGATAATGTGATATTTGTATAGATAATGTGCATTAAAATCAGTTATCTGATTTATGACTAATGAAATTGATCAGACTTTGTACATAAAATAAGGTTTTACTATTTATTAATTTATAAATATTGGAAAAACAAACTTGAATGAACATTTGTAAACCAAAAAAATATAATAGGATTAGAGAATTTGTTATAATTTTATGTACCATATCAATAACTATATTCTGCCTTCCAGGTTTTAAGACCATTCATATTGAGAAGACTTAAGTCTGAAGTGGAACAACAAATGCCCAAAAAGTTTGAACATGTAGTAATGTGTAGATTATCAAAGAGGCAACGGTTCCTATACGAAGAATTTATGTCAAGAGCTAAGTAAGTGTATATATGTTAAGCTGTTTTAAATTATCCTGTTTTAGAGATAAGAGCCATAGACTGCTGAGAATTGCAAATGTACTGATTACATTCAAAGTATTTTCTGGAAGGGACTTTAGGGAGCTTAGTTCTGGGACCACCAAAATTTAATCTAACTTTCTAGCCTCTGAGGGTCATCCATTTCGTACTAAGATCCAGGATACATTAAAGACTGGGGAGACTGTTACGACTTGGCCTATTGTTACCAGTTACTTTCCATCCCTCACTGCAGTGGCCTCTTGTCCCCCACCCACTTCAGCCTAGGCCGAGGAAAAGTAGATTTAATGAAATGTCTGAAGTTTAAAGGTTAAGGAGGATGAAAAGACAGTGATAATTATCAAGAGGTGTAATCTACATAACATGCAAAGAAGTATATTTATTTGAGTAACACAAGGTAATTATGGTGGCAGTGAACTTAAATGTTCCAGCCTAGGCAACAGACTCCATTAATTAATATCCAGCCCTCACCTTTGTTGTGATTCAAACACGGGTAAATACTGACTGGCACCACCTGCCTCTCCCTGACAAGAAGTCACCAGATAAGATTTCCCTAAAGTATCTTCAACTAGGGATTATTCACTACAAATAACTCTCACTATTTAGCTATATATGTGTATCACTGCTAGACATATTAATACTAACTAAAAATAAATAGAAGAATTCAGAGAAATGCAGTGAGAGGTAATGTTCACCCAGGTATGTGGAGACACAGATAGACTACAAAACAAAAATACAGTTTTAGAGAGTATTAATGAACAAATCCAACCAAAAATGAAGAACTCTTTATCAGCAAAGTGCCAACACTGAGTGTAGTTCAAATAAATCAAGATAATCAATACATGAATTTTGAACCTGTGGATATTATGCATGGGCCATCAAGAAGAATTCTTCAGGAATTAGAGAGGACCCAAGTCTAATATTAACACCAGAACCTAATGCAAACAAGATAAAATCAGGAGCATGTAGGAATCTGAAGAACTAAAAAACAGCATTTAAAAATGTGAACAACAAGGTTTTAAAGTCCATATGTATAGTTTCTGAGAGATCATTATTGAAGTAAACATCATAGATAAATAAAATAAAGACTACTCAATAGCTCGGTCGATAGAGCTTCGGCCTTACATGCATGGGGTCCATGGTTCAAATCTCCTGAGCCCAGGTGAATGGATTCATAGATAAATGGCTGCTAGAATTAAATCCAAATAAGTGTAAAGTAATTTAAACGGGTAAGGGAGATAGGAGACGTATTTAACTACACCGTAAGAGGAAGGCAATTACAAGTAACAATAAGAGAAAAAGACATGGGTGTAGACATAATCCCAACATTAACAACAAAAGCGCATGTGAACAGGATAACATCAACATCATATGGAAAGTTAGCAAACAAAATAATGTCATTTGAGAAACAGCTAGGAGGCAAGACACAAACAGCTAAATCTCGCTCCTCCATAGTCACCGATAGGTAAACACGTCCACTTTCTGACCCATATAAAAGAAATAAACATTTGTTAAATTTCTCACCTTTTATTTTGTACAAGTGTGCTGTGGAAATATTTATATTTAGTTATGTATTATTTGGTACATAAGTACCCCTGTTACCTAGAAGTAAATAGGTACCTGGGAGCTAGACAGCTGTTACAGCTGCTTTCTGGGGGTGTATTGTGCGTGTGTGTGGGGGGAGGATTAGTTAGTAGTTAGTAACAGTTGATTGACAGTGGAGAGGCGGGCCGAAAGAGCAGAACTCAACCCCCGCAAGCACAACTAGGTGAATACATTATTTTGTACTCTTCACCTCATCCTCTCCCCCACTTCCTCCCTCTTCTGCACCTCATGTTTAGCCTCTCTTCCCTTTCATAAAATATAATATGATGGAGATATGAAACTAATTTATGTGAAAATCCGTAGGAGCAGTGATGAGGTTTCGATGTTTCCATGCACACGCTTTTAGCGACTTGACCATAACATGGTAATAAGAATTGCAACTTGGCGCTTTTCTGAACACACAAGGATTTCCTGAGGCTTCTACTGAAGCCAGAACAGGATTTTCTGGCTTCAGAAGAAGCCTCAGGAAATCCTTTTGTGTTCAGAAGAACTCCAGGTTGCCATCCTTATTACCATGTTGTCGTCTAGTCACTAGAAGCGTGCATGTGGGAACACTCGCTCAGTATAGGTTTGAATGCTCATCACTGCTCCTGCGGATTTTCTCACTTGAGATATTTTGAGATATATACAAGAGTTGTTACATTCTTGTACAGCCACTAGTACGCGTAGCGTTCCGGGCAGGTCCCTGGAATACGATCCCCGCCGCGAAGAATCGTTTTTACAACCAAGTACCCATTTTATTGTTGAGTTAAACAAAGGCTACAGTTAAGGATTTGCGCCCAGTAAATCCTCCCCGGCCAGGATACGAACCCATGACAGAGCGCTCGCGGAACTCCAGGCGAGTGTCTTACCACTGCACCACGGAGACTGGTAATTGATGCAGTCACGTTGATGTGACTACTCTCTGTGTACTAATTTGTGTGTTTAAAGAAATAATTATTTTTGATGGCGAAAAAGTCTTTAGACATCTTAATGAATATTTCACGCTTGACCCGAAATGAATCCATGATAATTGGGGGGGGGATCAATAATTACTAATATTTCTTAAATCATTGAACGTAGGCCTACCCCAACCAGCCTATGGCAGTTCCGGACCCCCTAGAACATTTTCCCTACTAATTTGGGTAAGGCGAGCCCCAAGCATGTGACCTCCAATTTCAAACAGACAGACAATCATTCTCTCTTATAAATGTATTTAGCATATGTGTTATGCAGTCTTACCTGTAAATGAGTTATTTCTTACATTTAACTCATAACTGAATTATATCAAGACATATCTAGTAATTTTTAATATTATTTTCTAAATTTTACTTACAGAACTAGAGAGACCTTGGCAGCTGGGAACTTCTTAAGTGTAATCAATGTGTTGATGCAACTTCGAAAAGTGTGCAATCATCCAAATCTGTTTGAACCTCGCCCTACAGTGTCTCCTTTTATGATGGAGGGCCTCTCCTACAATGTTCCATCCATCATTTGGGGCCTCATTGATTATGACCCATTTAGGGTGAGCTTTATAGTTTTTTGTTGCAAATGTTCACATGTTTATGAAAACCTTTGTCTGAATGAGTATTGCATAATTGGACTGTTCTATACACTTCATAGTCACAATCATGTCTCTGAAACAACAAAATTGATTATTCAGATTAAAAACTAATTTTTGCTTCTTTGGCGAGTAATATGACTTAAATATTCCATTGGCTGATTCCATATAAATAGCTATAGACATCAGAAAGACATCCCAAGTTAATACAGTATTTGCCGACAAACTAGTTCAACACCTTGGTAAACTCCTGACTTGATTGCAAAAGTTATAGACTATCTAATAAACTTTTAAATTATTAAAAGAAAAAGTGAATTAATGCAAATGAAGCTACAGTGTGTCCTCACTTGAACGAACTATATGGGGCGAAGCCGATTCGTTCCAGTGCGGAATTCGTTCCATCCGTCCGGCCCCAACAACCTTCTTATTTTTTTTTTTTTTAAACATATGCCAGGACACATTAGTTTGTTTCTTTGTTGTGTGGTGCTTCATTATAATATCTTTCATGCTCTTTTGGTGTCAATAATAATCTGAGATGCGAGAATCACCATCCCCCACCCCACCCACACCATCCCCCACACCACCCCCCACACCACCCACACCATCCTCCACACCACCCACACCATCCTCCACACCACCCACACCATCCTCCACACCACCCACACCATCCTCCACACCACCCACACCATCCTCCACACCACCCACACCATCCTCCACACCACCCACACCATCCTCCACACCATCCTCCACACCACCCACACCATCCTCCACACCACCCACACCATCCTCCACACCACCCACACCATCCTCCACACCACCCACACCACCCATACCATCCCCCACACCATCCTCCACACCACCCACACCATCCTCCACACCACCCACACCATCCCCCACACCACCCATACCATCCCCCACACCACCCACACCATCCCCCACACCACCCACACCATCCCCCACACCACCCACACCATCCCCCACACCACCCACACCATCCCCACACCACCCATACCATCCCCCACACCACCCACACCATCCCCCACACCACCCACACCATCCCCCACACCACCCATACCATCCCCCACACCACCCACACCATCCCCCACACCACCCACACCATCCCCCACACCACCCACACCATCCCCCACACCACCCACACCATCCCCCACACCACCCACACCATCCCCCACACCACCCACACCATCCCCCACACCATCCCCCACACCATCCTCCACACCACCCACACCATCCTCCACACCACCCACACCATCCTCCACACCACCCACACCATCCCCCACACCACCCACACCATCCCCCACACCACCCACACCATCCCCCACACCACCCTCCACACCACCCACACCATCCCCCACACCACCCACACCATCCCCCACACCACCCTCCACACCACCCACACAATCCCCCACACCACCCACACCATCCTCCCCCACACCACCCACACCATCCCCCACACCACTAACACCATTCGCCCCCACCACCCACACTCCCCACACCACCACCCACACACCCCACACCACCACCCACACCATCCCCCACACACCCCACACCACCCACATCATCCCCCACACCATCCACACCATCCCCCACACCACCACCCACATCATCCCCCACACCATCCCCCACACCATCCACACCATCCCCCACACCACCCACACCATCCCCCACACCACCCACACCATCCCCCACACCCCCACACCCTCCCCAACACCACTAACACCATTCGCCCCCACCACCCACACTCCCCACACCACCACCCACACACCCCACACCATCACCCACATCATCCCCCACACACCCCACACCACCCACATCATCCCCCCACACCCAACCACACCACCCACACCAACCCACCCACACCCAAACCACACCACCCAAACCATACCACACCACCCACACCGTGTATTGAAGCAGCAGGCTTGGAAGCGTCTCAACTCGCCCGACAAAAAAAAATGATGGGTTGACAGGTCTCCTCTCACACCTCCAGGACCCCCCCCCCACCCCCCAGGTACCCGGCCATACACACCACAATGCCAAGTCAGCTATTGTTTTCTTCAGGAAACAATAAAACGTGTTAATGATTAATAATGTATATTAATACACGAAAATTAACATATTTTGGCATAAATATTTTACAGCTAAGATTGAGATTTATAATAGAGTATGAATGAGAGGTTTGGCAGCCATGCGTGGTCACCACCCTTCTCTCTCCACTTCCACCTCCCCTGACAACACCTTCCACCACTGACCCCACCTGCCTCTTTCCACCACCTGCCTCCCCTGACACCGCCTGCCTCCCCTGACCCCACCTGCCTCCCCTGACCCCATGTGCCTCCCCTGACACCACCTGCCTCCCCTGACCCCACCTGCCTCCCCTGACCCCACCTGCCTACCCTGACCCCACCTGCCTACCCTGACCCCACCTGCCTACCCTGACCCCACCTGCCTCCCCTGACCCCACCTGCCTCCCCTGACCCCACCTGCCTCCCCTGACCCCACCTGCCTCCCTTGACCCCACCTGCCTCCCCTGACCAACCTGCCTCCCCTGACCCCACCTGCCTCCCCTGACCCCGCCTGCCTCCCCTGACCCCGCCTGCCTCCCCTGACACCGCCTGCCTCCCCTGACACCGCCTGCCTCCCCTGACCCCACCTGCCTCCCCTGACACCACCTGCCTCCCCTGACACCGCCTGCCTCTTTCCACCACCTGCCTCCCCTGACACCGCCTGCCTCCCCTGACCCCACCTGCCTCCCTTGACCCCACCTGCCTCCCTTGACCCCACCTGCCTCCCCTGACACCACCTGCCTCCCCTGACACCACCTGCCTCCCCTGACACCACCTGCCTCCCCTGACACCACCTGCCTCCCCTGACACGCCTGCCTCCCCTGACACCGCCTGCCTCCCCTGACACCACCACAAATGATGCCAGCCACCTCACCAAGGCCTAACGTTCACACGACCTGTGCTTATTTTATTGGCCTCCTCAAAATTTATTCTAAATAGGTATTAGTACAGTACGCAGGCTGTTGGAGGGAGGGAGGGATCCAGGAAACAACCCCCCCCCCACCCACCCCCCCCACCCCCCCAATGGCTCAGGGAGCGACCGGCCGGCCACACAATGCCAGCTGTTATCTACACCCTAATTGTATTAAAAATTTTGTGAAAAGGAAATGTGTTCAAACTGTTTAAAATATGTACTGTATATATTACAATTTTCACCATTATTATTGCACCAATATGACATTTTTCTAATAAAAAGGCTATTTTCAGTGTAGATAATGCGATAATTATCATTAAATTGACTCTTGGCATCTGACGACGAGAGGAGAGTGAGTGGTCTCTGTGGTCAGGTGGAGGAAGGAGGGTGGGGGCGGGGGAGCACGTGTTGCCTCCTGACAACAACTCTCTCACCAATGCCCCCCTGACACCATTTTATCACCATTTTTATCACCATTTCTCCCTAGAAACAATGGGTAGGGATAATAAAACACTACATAACTGTTTACACTCTGGCGAATCATAGTTGATGACAGCCAGCTCTGACGCTCGGCCTCGGTGACCGCTTGGACGAACATTCCTCACTTAATCGAACATTTGTATGTTCCACTGAACATTTGGTACCGAATTCAATTTGTTCGGCTCTTCCGGGAATTCGATAGAGCGGGGTTCGTTAGTCTGAGGAAGCACTGTATATGCAATGCTAGGTGATAATTTGAATTTAATTAAACATTGCTACACTAAAGGTTTAAATTAATAGAAATGCATTATACTGTAGGAAATCCAAAATGTGAACTTTATATTGGTACAATATCCATTAAGCTATAACAAAATATTCAACACAGTCATTGGATGAGTACTTGAATAGAGTGAGTGTGACACTCACAAGCCCTGAGTGTGATGGGCTTGCTCAGTGTTTGGGTTAGCAAAAGGGAAAGATAAAGGCTTTTTCTGCAACTCAAAACATCTTTTCTGGGGGGAGCCCCGTTGGCTCCCCGGAGCTTACTAGGCTGATATGCTAATGTTAGACTTTGGCATCAGTCATGTGTATGGAGTTCTGTGGGCTTACCGGGGACCACGAGCCAGAACCTGACCTCAGAGAGGCATGGGGAGCATTGGCCTATAGAAACCCCCCATGTGGTTGGACACATTCTATGTCTGCCATCGACCGGGTCAGGCACCCAGAAAGGTAAGCATCCCAAAACTAACTCCTATTCTGGTGAAATTATTGCTACCAAAAGCCGAACAAGTGGATAGAACTCCCTAAAAAGAAACGAGCAAACGATCATGACGTCACACGTTGCCGCACCACTGTCTGTGCAGCTACCCCCCCTCCCCAGGAGGGGGAAGGGGAAGCCCCAGATCCCTCACCGGCTATCCACCATACCACCACAGCAACTGACACACGCTGTAGGCTGGTAGCAGAAGGTGTGTGAAAGTAGCAATGATGACCCTTAAGAGCACCAGAGAGAGACTGGCTTCCATGGGTTGCAGGGCTCTCTTTATACCCTGCCGGTGATGACGTCACGTCTTGTGTCAATGCGAGCAGTAACAAGTGGGTGCCGGTAACTGCTAGTTTGCAACTGCAACACAGCTGGGTAGAGGCTGTATAACTTCTAGTTAGAGGCAGCAAACTGCTTGGTAGAGGTGGCTAACTGCTAGTTTGCGGAGGCACTTTGCCTGCTGGTGAGCCGTACTGGGTGGTGGAGCGTGTGCCAGGTCAAATGACTCATCTTGGCTATCTTGGAAGGGACAGTTCCACTGCTATGCAGGGAACTTATGTGATACTGCCTAGTGTTTCGGAGCCTTTGTTGGGCTTGGCTTCATCCACTAGAAATCTTCTGTCATTTTGCTATGCAACCAATGATGATGATGATTACACTGCTAGATGGTTAGCATTGTAAATGTGTGGTCACGTCTATGGTAGAAAATAATAATAATAAAAAAAAACTGCTAGGAAAAAAATCTTGCATCTAACCTTCTGATAACTCAATTATCTGAGCAAGAGTCGACCATATATTTAATTCCGAGAGTTCATTCATACTGTTTAACATTCAAAAGAAATAATGTTCTTTAAAATGTATACATGTCATCATGTTATTGATATACTGTATATATTACTATATAAATAATTCTCCACTTTCAGGAAGTTGACTTATTCTGTCTAAATTTTCTTCTGGCCGATTTGGAATTGTGCTTGACAGCATTTGCTGCTCATCGTATTCGCAAGTTCCAAGCTCCTCGCCGACTTATTGAAGAAATAGATTCTGCTCCAGATCCACCTCCAAAGTGAGTATTACAATGTATACTCTAAAGATATTGTGTACCCCACACCCACCCACTCAAGGCACCCCATACCCATCCACTCCACTCGAGGCACCTACACTTGCCTACTGATGGGACCCACACCATCAGCTCCTGCTGCTGACACCAACAGAACAAGTTGCTAGCTCGCTCTCTCCCCCCACCTCCCTCCCTGTCACCATCACACACCCAGTTGCCCACATCAAGGCCCCTCCCTCCCTGCCTGGCCAGGGCAGGATAGCATTAGGTAGATAGCTGGCAGGCAGGTGAGGTGGATGGATGGATGGCGGGTGGGCAGGTAAGATGATGGACATTTTGAATTTCATGTGCTTGCTTCCTTCTGAATTCTAAGTCCTGTGATATTCTTGACAGAAAAATTCGTACTTGCTTATTTGATCTGGCAGCCCACTACCTTCTGCCCTTTTCCCAAAAAAGTGCACCTTTACTTCCACAAGATATTCAAATGTCATCGAGTCTTGCTGGTTACTCTATTCATTAAGTTCAATCTCACTTAATTCCATCTATGCTAATGTACTCGATTTTAAAGCTCACTTATTTCTTTGCATTCTCACTTGCAAGCTCTAATCCTTCATTTCCTTGGTGTCTGTGATTTCTTGTTGTGAATAGTATAGGTTAAGGGGGATATGTCCCCCTTACCATGTACTATTCACAATGGTTTGTGGTTGTGAAAAACCATATAAGTGGTTTGTCCTGGAGTTGATAAAAGGAAAATTAGGTATGAGTTGTTCCTGCATTGGGGAATTGGGGGGTTTGGTTTGGGGACAGAAGATAGTGATAAATTAGTTTTCAGACCAACAAGTTTCTAGTTCCAGTGTCTTAGTCTTGCATATTATTTGAGACATTCTTTATGCATCCTGGGCACCCATCTGGTAATATGTAACCCAACTCTACCAATCAAATAAATTATAACAAAAAATGCCTGAAGTAGTTAGAACAAGAATATATTTACATGATTTTGGACAGAAATATATACATAAATATAGTACATAGACTTTATCTGAACACTTTTTATCTCTTTTCTTTGGCTATGCCAGATGTGATTACTGCAGGCAGATGGTTAATGAATAATTTGTATATATACATAGGTGTCCAGCTGGAAAGATCAAACTTCATGTACGGCCATCTAGTCAAAGTGTGCCTAAGACTGGCGTATCGCCAGCAAGCACTCCAAGAGTACCTACTCCAGTTGGAGCTCTTCGTGCTCCCGTGCCACAAACACCAACCTTAGCTTCTACCAGCACCACTACCACCACCACTACCAACTTGCAGGGTGGAGGAATGCGGTTCCAGCTGGTTCAGCAAGGAGGAACAATTAAAGGTATGTTTGGAAATATTCTATTTTTAATAATGTTCTGCTGGTGGATTATTTTTAAGTCTGGTAGATATTTGATAAAATATATCTGAAAGGTAAATTTATTGTTTAATATTACTGGGTTGTGTTCAATTCCATAACTATACATGTAAAGCATCAAGATACATGCCACAGAACAGGTATAGCATACAACAGACAGGTGTGAAACCCATACTATGCATAATGTTTAACTATTAATGTGTGGTTATCATCATAATGTTGATCCCCCAGGGTAATTTTTTATTATGATGATTTTAGTTATTACATGGTTTTTATACAAATGTAACTATGGGTATAATACATCTATATGGCTGTAATGGAGTTGACTGAGACCCGTGAACAAATTCTGCTGTTGTTTTTAATTGCTATCAATGAGGTTATCTTTTAACACAAGGCACAAGCCATATGATTATCATCATATAACAATTTAGTGTTCCCAATGGTATTTGAATCTATTTCTGGGAGACATTACAAGACAGAATAGCAGTAAAGTTGTGGGTTATAAGACTCTTCCTTAGAGCTGTCACAAACAAATTTATGTGCAATATATTTGAACATACTACATTGTAGGCCTCTATACAGTACTTGGTTACTGTTTTTGTTAATGATCAAATTATTCCACACATTGTGTAAACTACAGTGAAACAGCACTGGGAGCCAGTGGCTGAGCGGACAGAACACTGGACGCGTGATCCTGTGGTCCTGGGTTCGATACCGGGTGCCGGCAAAAAACAATGGGCAGAGTTTCTTTCACCCTGATGCCCCTGTTACCCAGCAGTGAATAGGTACCTGGGAGTTAGTCGGCTGTCATGGGCTTCTTCCTGGGGGTGGAGGCATGGTCGAGGACCGGGCTGCGAAGACACTAAGCCCCGAAATCATCTAAAGATAATCTCAAGATAATCATCTCAAATAAACCCTCTAATATAATGGGCTGACTGTGTTTATCTGCCCCTAAAAGAGCTTTTGACAGTCTCACACAAGAAGTTGTTCTGGAAGCTGAACCATAATCGAGGGGGTGACTGGAAGACTTCTAACACAGATTAAAAATTTCCTGACAAAATTTCGTTTCAACAGTATGACAATATAAACAAAGTACTAGCAACCATCTCTTGGGAAACCATATTGAGCACCAAAACTACTCAACTAAAAATGGGACAATTGACCACAGAAGTGTTCAGTATCTGCTCAAAACATCTGTGGAAGACCAAAATGATGGCTTCCCTAGAAAGAGAACACAGCAAACACATAAAGGAAGAAAAGAAATAGTTAATTCTCAGCATACTTACTTGAACCATTACAGGGAGTTAAGTTTAGTACATTGCATGTACTAAACAGGGAGTTTAAAGAAATAGTTATAATACCTGAAAAGATATGCAAATAGAACAAAAGCTGTTGGTAAAACACATGGTTGTTGGATACAGAAGGACATGAATGGTAGCATCTTTAATTTTGCTCAGAATGCCTCTTTAGGCACAACTGTATTGTCAAGAACAAGGTTCAAATTTTAGAAGTATACAGCATCCAGTGATACTGAAGATGATCCACCCATGCATCATCACCTGCTGCTGCCTCTTTCTTTAGCAATTACAACTCTTCATAATATTTTCTCAAACGGTTCAAAATATTATCAACTCTTCATAATATTGCTCAAAAAAGCTTAACATCAATCAAGCAAGACAATTCTCTGCCACCATAGTTAACAAAAAATGTTTTTTGTTATATTCCTTCAAAATTTGTTACATGCTTACTATATGTTGATTTTTGGTGGCCCTGGAATGCATCATAGCAGTGTGCCTATGAGAAATCAGGTTCAGAGTTAGAAATATTATTGTACAGTAGCTTTTTCAATTGGGTGGTTGCCTTACCTGATTTTTATGTAAAAAGGTGAAAATGTGTCAAAATTTATGTATTGCTAATTAGTTACTGAGCAAAAGAATGCTATTACACACTAACTTGAATGTATAAAGTTCTCTTTAATTTATGTATTCCTATATGGCATTTTCCTTTTTAGAGCATATTTTGTGTGGGTAAGTACATTCTTTTCCTTTCTATGTACTAATTTGTAAAAAATTTGCAAAGGATTAATGAGGAGGATTGGGGATCGTTATATGTTGAATGTAGGCATGTTATTTCAGCCATACAAGTACCAGTAACTGGAGCTAGTGGAGGAATGGTTGTGCAGCAGACTCCTCAGGGACCACGTCTGGTGATACCACAGCGAACTACATTAGGAGTGCCTGGTGCTACAGCATCCATTGGAGGAGCACCTACTACAGGAGCCTCTGCCATGGGTGGATTACAGCTGCTTCAAACAGCATCAGGTCAGCTTTTACTCACCACAGCTCCAGTACAGAAGCCAGCAAATCCCACATTATCTCAAGGTAAGAGACAATCGCAGAATAAGGAACTTTTTAATTGTTTCATTGCTGTTGCACTAAAGTTATTGCTGCACTATTGAGTTTGTAAATCTGTTTAACCTGTCATATAGACTAGGATATAGGCGCACCTCTAAAACCTGGGTCATGTTGTTCTGATCCAAATATGGATTTGCACGAAACCCAGCTTTCATGCAAATCCACATAGTGGTGGATGGAGTTTACTGTGAATAAATACACTGTTATAGAATGTGGAATTGTATGAGCCACTTAGTAGGTGGCTCCTCTAGCTAGCCACTGTTGTTAGCTCCCCCACCTATCAAGTCACATTAGGCACTTGCAAGTCAATAAAAGCCTGTTAGAGACCAGATGCCAAAACCTGTCACCCTCACAGAGGCAGAGAGAGCAGAAGATTTGTGATCACCCTCACCAAGAAACAACCACCAGAAAGGTAGAGCAAAGCACAGCAATCCAGACAGCAGCAAGACAAATGTAAACAAATGAGAAAATGATCTTTCCAGTACAGTAGTTAGATTGTTCATCCTCCTGGGGGCTACTGGCTCAGCCAGTGAATCTCCTTCAGCCAGTCACCTAGTGAGCCCATGGCTGTTACCAGAGTTGGTTAAGCCCTTTTGCTCCCAAGATTTTCTCCAGATAACTGTTGGCCATCCTTTGTACTTTATACTGAGGGGGTCATTTACTTGTGTGTGGTTCTAATTTTTAGTATTTGCTTCATGAGTGTGTGTATACAAACCTCACTTGTTGAGAGGACTTTGAGAAACTGTTTGCCTTGAGCTGCACATGTCTCTGATTGACTTCTCTAGGTGCACTAATGTTATTTCATCAAATTTAGTATCATGGCACAATATTTGATCCACCCTGACTCAGTCCGAGCAATTTAAAAAGCTGTGACGCACAAAATACAGGGTGACATAAAACAGTCTGAAATAGGAAAAATAATAAAAAAAATGACTACCTGTAAGTGATACCATTTTTTCTGTGGTTGCTTGCTTTGTTGAATTTATGCTTTTGTGGTAGGTTTTTCTTAAATTTTGGGTGTATCTCTGATCACCGTGCTTCTTAGAGAATGCCAGATTCGGGTCGTGACTTGCAGTAAACGAGGGTGGGTCTCAGAGACCTGGTGCATCTCCAAGGCTGGGCTGGACCCCTCACATTGATCAAAGAACTACCGAGAGCCACACCAGAAAAGGGTGTTTCATCGCATTCAATGCTTGATTTTTTAATGACACTTTTAGCAGTAATTTAGCATTTTTTTTAGTTTTAAGTGCAGTACCTCAATTTCCAAGATAAAATTGTATTTCTTTTAATAATGTTTATGAATATTTGCTACAGTAATAAAGGCAAAATAATAGTAAAAATATTTTAAAAAATATTAAATCATTAATAGTAATGATTCTGAGTTTTCCCCTCACCTGTTTAACGTTCATGAAAATATATTTGTTCATAAGTACAGTATAATAAATGATGAAACATTCAAGGAGCATGAAAGTCTTCTTGACTGTTTTCACTTTTTTACCAAATTACACCATGGAATTTATTCATCAGTTGCCAATAGAATATGAATGACATAAATACAAACATTAATGTTCCACAATGTCTCAGGGGTGAGTGGCACTGCTGCAGCGGCTCTTCTTCAGCGGTTACAAGGCTTGAAAGGTTTGCAAGGCTCTATGATCACTACTGGGGCTGGGGGAAGACCAGTGCTCCGCCTTCCTCTCCCCACGAGTAATTTCAGACCACAAACACAGGTTAGTCGACTTGCTGTTTTGGGCTTTCATACATTTGTAGATACAATACTGTAGTTGCGTTAATTACAAATTGTTCCTGGTTATACAGTCAGCAACGTGTCATGGAACCGAATGATTGAGGTAGTCTACATTTAATGTTGATTTCTTTTAATGTAGCAAGTCAATAAACATTTGATATCATATTGGTATACAGTATATTGAAAACTTCCTTTTATTTTATGCTCACATGTTGGTATGTGCAAACATACATTACATGCAGATGATGATTAGAAGTGTTGAGTGACTTCAAGGGTAGAAGGAGCAGACTTAATACCTATCTTGTTCCACACTTGGTCTGGATCACTGAGAGTCCTGAGGAATATGTCAAGGAAATATTGAATTAAATTTTCTGCCTCAGCAGAAGTAATAACATGCTGACAACAACCAGTTAACTTGTCCAAAAATTATCAGGAATAAACAAGAAGACGAAAATAACTGAAAAAGTGATCAGAATGAAACTTGTATAAATTTCATGTAAAGGACAAAATTCAGAGATTAAGAAGAGGTATCAATTTTAAATTAAAGTGTATTCATGCAACGCAAAAATTTTAGATCGCCAAACACTTACATACATGGGAACATATACTGTATGATAATAATAATAATAATAATAATAATAATAATAATAATTTATTTAGGAAAAGTACATACATAGTTGCAGAGTTACAGTACAAACATTGTTTGATTTAAAGATAGAGGTAGTACATACAATACCTTAAGCCACTAGTACGCATAGCGTTTTGGGCAATATTTAGAAACAAGTTTCAGAAATATCTAATTATTAGGGCAGAAACAAACCAGGTGGAGTTTTTCTCTTTGAGTACTGAGAGAATATGCTCATGAGCTTAGCAATCCAATGCATATATTTTGTCTATAGGGTCTCAATTATTTTCAGATTTTGGCAACCGGTAACAACCAAACTACAGCTGCTATCCGTGTATCATCACCTGCCGCCCCTCTACAAGTTAGTTTTGGTACAAACGTGCTTACTTGCTGTGCTTTTACTTTATATATTCACAAGGTCTTATGAAGTGGGGTGTGATAATACGATTGGTGACTGACCAAATTAGTGGTAGAATATTTGAGTGACTGGTGACTTTGTTCTCCCTCTCATGTTGATCAGTCATCAGTCACTCAACAACTTTCCTCTTCCTTTTCCCTCCCATGTTGGTCAGAGTGAAGTAATAATGTGACTAGTGATTGACCAATCTGGGACAGGAAAGGAAGAGTGAAATGGTTGAGTGACTGGTGTCTGACCAACCTGACTACAACACACGCAGTTGTGCGTGTGTGAGAGCTATCACATTCATATTCTCCATACAACATTATTTACGTGTCTGGTTGATACTTGATTGATGGGGTTCTGGGAGTTTTTCTACTCCTCATGCCTGGCCCAAGGCCAGGCTTGACTTGTTAGAGTTTGGTCCACTAGGCTGTTGCTTGGAGTGGCCTGCAGGCCCACATACCCACCACAGCCTGGTTGGTCCGGCACTCCTTGGAGAAACCCGTCTAGTTTTCTCTTGAAGATGTCCACGGTTGTTCCGGCAATATTTCTGATAGTTGCTGGTAGGACGTTGAACAATCGCAGACCTCTGATGTTTATACAGTGTTCTCTGATTGTGCCTATGGCACCCCTGCTCTTTACTAGTTGAAGAATGGGGGGAAAGCAGTGGTGTGGAAAGGGGTGCCTGGGGTGTCATTGTCATTGGTGTCATTGGACATAATCTTGCAGTCAAGCAGGACCGCATACTGTCACTAGCACTACAGGGAGTTTTCAAGACTCTATAGGGTTATTATATAGGCAAGGGAAACAATGGAGAGAACTCAGTTTATACAAGAGTAATAAATAGATGTCATTTAAAAAATTCTAAACCCTTCCACACCTTTCCTCTTGCTAACTACTAATCTAGCTACCTACCCTGACCAGCAATACAAACAAGCCAGGAGCAACTACACAACAGAGAGAATACAGGCAGAAATTAAATTTGGGAAAGGTATTTCAGATAAGGGTAAAACTGGACCAGCCTTATTATATATATTCATTAAAAGCTAATGGCATGTAAACAATAAAATTCAGAGGTTGAAAATTTGTTCAGATTCACACAGAATAAAAGGGAAATGTGCGAAATACTGAATGAACCATTCCATAGTGTGTGCAAAATGAAGTCTTCAGGGAGCTAAACATAATATATAGCTTTCAGTGAAAGCATAGAGGTGTCTCGAGATGAAGTGGTAAAAATGCTTAATGAACTAGATAGAAACAAGGCAGTAGGCCCCACATGCAGTTTCAATTTGGGTTCTGAGAGAATGTGCATATGAGCTGAGCACCCCACTTCAGTTGAGATTTTTGGCAGACATGGAAAAAAGGCAAACAAATTTCCAATCTAAACAAAAAAAATGGTAGCAGGGAAGACCCTCCTAATTATAGACCAGTATCGTTGAGAAGCGTGGGAGTCAAAACACTAGAAAAAATAATTGAAATCAAATGAGCAGAACACCTGAAGAGAAATGAGAAATTATGTGAGACATCTATGCCCAGCTTTCCAACTTTAGAATTGCTCTTAAATACAAGGATGGCAAAATATTAAAGAAATTGTTCACAACCATTATGAAACTAAGTTGACCTAACCACACACTAGAAGTTTAAGAGACGACGATGTTTTGGTCCGTTCTGGACCATTATCAAGTTGATTGGGCATTATCACCATCGACTTGATAATGGTCAAGGACGGACCGAAATGACGTCATCTCTTCAACTTCTAGTGTGTGGTTTGGTCAACATTTTTCATCCACATTATTGTGACTCTTCATTTGCTTCGTGAAACTAAAATTGGAATATGCAGCTGTTGTATGGTGTTCATATGTCAAGAAGCACATCAGCAAATTGAAAAAGGTGCAAAGGCATGCAATAAAATTGCTTCTGAAACTGAGAGATAAGAGCTACAAGGAGATTATTTGCTTCTACCATCCCTTTTGTTTGTAGAGGCTGTAGATTTCTTTGAACTCCTCCTGCACTGAGGCGCTGAAAAAAAAGGAAACTGGATGCTCTGTGGTCTCTTGTCTCAATAAGCTTGAAACCCAGGTCTTTGAAAATGCTCCTTGTACTTCCTATAAAACCAAGTGACTTGGATCTTATAGGAACAAGGTTGAACCAGTGGTCTATTTTCCCATATTTGATTTGGCCCTTTTCCTTTGTGTGATGGGCAACTGCTTGATCAGAGAGGGTAATGTATGTGGCCGCCAATGTAGATACATTGCAACTGCTCTTTAAAGCTGCTGCAAATCAAGACATGTGCCCGTCTCAGACATTTGGACACCCTGAAATCATTCACTAAATTTTCCATCTGCATCAATTGAATCCAGGTTCTGCACATGATTTACATTCTTAGATGGATTTTATTCTGAATGATGCAGGAATCTGTCTGGATGGCATCTGGATCAGTGAACTTACACTGTAAGTGGTTGTTGGGCCCAAAAGTTATTCGGTAGCTCTTCCTCCATAGGTACTCGAGTAGTACAATAAGCCCAATTCAACATTGCTGAAATATCACTATTCATATAATCATTGTATTCTCTGTATTTATTATAGCCTGCTATCTGTACTCATTACACCATTTTTTTTTTTTTTGTATCCTAAGATATAATGGCCATGGGATACCCCTCTTAATGTGCCATGGTAAAACTCTATCTAATTATAATAAAAATCCTTAAACAGACTACTCCTGTGGCTAGTCCAGTGAGAACAGGGCCATCGTCTCCTGCTGCTCGGGCTCCTCCTCCAAGCACCACACCTACCAAGCCCATCACAAGGATTGACCAAAGGGAGCTGGAACGACAGGATGAAAAGAAAAAGGAAGAGGAGAGAAAACGAACCTTATTCTGTTTGGTAAGGAAATTAAATGTGTAAACATTTTTAATATACATAAATATTAGAACAAAATAATGTTTTCATATTTTTCCTTCTTGTAATAAGTGTTAGTGTGCTTGCAGCATATTCTGAAGTAGTGTGATACATTTGGTTATGTCTTGTGTGTTTTCTACTACTTCCATTGTAGAAAATATTAAATACAGTATTGTAAATACACTTATCCTTTTCAGCTTCATACTTTTTAAGTTACAGTACTGTTATCACAGAAATTAGCCAAATGTTCTTGCCCAGAGAAATAAGACACTGAAGTAAAATGCTCCTTTCTGAGAGGCACCGTAGATACTCCACACAACCAAGTCCATCTGGGCTTTGGGCAGCTCTCAACCCTTCCGTAATAAATAACATTTCAAACCCGCCACAGAGAAACTATTTGCTATGATGCCAAAGAACATATTAAATCACTTAGAACTCCCCCTTCAGAAAATTATTGAGATCATAATGGTCACCAGTTATTGCTTTTAAAATATATAACTGTACAGCCATGTTAGAGGAGGTTGCAAACACACTATAGTATTCAGTGTGAGGTGTCAATCTTTAGTTCCATCTCCAGTTCCATCTTAGGGTGGTCCAGTGCCCCCCTCTCATCTTGAGCTCATGGTTGAGGTATGTGTCCTCAGTTGTCAGTCACTCTTGCGCATTTGGTTCCAGTTTCAGCGTTAGCCTGTTCCTGGTGGTTGGTGGAGGTTTTCCTTTCAGCATTTTCATAGTATGCCCTAGTAACAGTATAGTGCAGGATCTTTTATAGACTAACTTGTGGGATACTTCAACATCTTTGTCTTCTTAGGATCCACATTTGGGTCTACCACAATCACCTTTCTCAAATGGTGCATATTGAGTATTACCTGAACATTTCTTTTGGCATTTTCTTTCCTCTCCCAACCCACTATATAATATTTTGTACTTCAGTAGTCTAGGTCTTTGAGTATTATTACCTTTATCTTACTGCTCACCTGCCTGCAACATAATCTGGTGACAGTCTCACTACTGCCTTACGATTAAGGCAGCCTCGGGGATGCTCTTGGACGCAGGTTCGAATCCTCGTCACGGCCTTTGTGGATTTGTTCAGTCTCACTTTTCTTGGTGACAGACTGTACAAACATATACATATACATGAACAGAAAGGTACAAACATATACATGAACAGAAAGGTACAAACATATACATGAACAGAAGGTACAAACATATACATAAATACATATACATGAACAGAAGGTACAAACATATACATAAATACATATACAGTACATGAACGTAAGTATCCACTTAGGAAAATGTAAAAAAGATATTCAGAATTTTTTTAAAATTTTCCTAAGTGGATATCTGTACTTGGACATAACTGAATCACATGTTTTTGTGATTATTCTGGCGATATGATCACCACTTATGAAATAAAAACAGGAATCAACCAAATTGACAAAGGAAGTCATGAAACCAGCATGAGCCATGTAGAGATCTAAACTTGTGTGAATGTAAACAACATCCACTGAGAATATGACTGACATTTTGTATCCTCTGTAATTATTTTTGTACTGCCACTTGCAGGATGATTTTAAAGTGCTCGATAAACAAGCTGATACTAAAAGCATAACCATCAATATTCTCCCTTGTGTTTCAGCTATCAGCCAATTATTTTTGTAAATTGTGTACATAGTCAGTCTATCTCTTCTTTACTCCAGCTTCATAACTGCGTTCTTGTTCCGTTCCTCAATTTGGCAAAAAAATTCGCAGATCTCAGTTCGTATATTTTTTTGGTTAAGACAAAATGTAAATGCTTTGCTAATTTGGTATCAATGTTTCAGCAGATGATATACCTCATTAATCTTTTAAGTGATTGTGATACATATCTATACTCATTTTCAGAATGACCTTGAAGAAAGAAGACGCAAGAGAAGGAAAGACAAGCTTTCTCTTATATCTCGGTTAAATACACGGCGGTGTCAGGCATGTCCCATATATGGTTCAGACCTGATAGAAGCTGTTTCTGTAATTAATCCGGGTCATGGGACCACCTACAGTTATGGGAAATGGAATGGCAAAGGAATGGTTCACTGTCTTCATGCAACTGAACTGAAATCTCGTCAATATTGGTTTGAAACAGAGTCTCTGCACAACCTAGTACAGACTCCAGAAACCTATTTAAAGCTTTTGAAAGATACCACTGACAGATATGTGTTTTGTATACCATCAGTGGTGGCACCACTTATTTGTATGAGAATGAGCCACCCGCCGCCATCCAAACTCTGGGCACAAGAAAGAATGAAAGCATTATTAAAAACACATGCTTCACCTGCCATTGCCCCACTTCATCACATAATGAATGCAGCAGTCACCCAGTTCCCAGACCCCAGGCTTATTCAATATGATTGTGGTAAGTGGATTGTTTTTGTTCATAGATTTTGATAGACAACATTGGTAAGTTTACTATTATTTTGTATGTGTTGTTCTTGCATGATTCTAGTAGATTGTTTTAAGGATTCAGGTGGTAAAACATTTTAATCAGTCCTTCCCATACTAATAACCTCTTGCTCATCTTCAGCTAGATGGTTGGTTGGCTGGCTGGTGTATTATCTAGCTAGCTATCTAGTTGTCTGGCTGGCTAATTGTGTGTGAATGTGTTGGTCATTGAGGTCATGTGAGAGCCACTCCAACAAACATTGCCATCTTCACATTTGTACCCACTCTAACTCATGATACCCACATGCTGACACCCCCACCCCAACACCCCCACCCCAACACCCCCACCCCAACACCCCCACCCCAACACCCCCACCCCAACACCCCCACCCCAACACCCCCACCCCAACACCCCCACCCCAACACCCCCACCCCAACACCCCCACCCCAACACCCCCACCCCAACATCCCCACCTCAACACCCCCACCTCAACACCCCCACTCACTTCCAATGCTTTTTTAGTGATGTTTATATATACTGTATATATATAGAGAGAGAAACTTGCTCTCCGTGCATTAGCAACTCATCATGGATGGGTTGAAGTGAGAAACAGCAGTGGAATCAAAGTGAATCAGCATGGGGGAGATGTGTTTATCACAATTATCATGCAGCTACATGATCATGTAGCACATGCAAATTGTGCCGCCCACCGAAACAATCGCTCACACTTTAGTCACAATTGTGCCAATATATGCATTAAGTTCAATGCAACTTCACAAATTTGTGAAGTTACATTATTTTGTTGGAGAATTAAAAAATAGCGCTCATTCTAGAGTTCTCATTTATCATTGATGCTTAGAGTTGAGGGTTCATAGTATAAATTACCATGAAAATCAAAATTGTTTATGTAGTACAATGAAAAGCAGATCTCCATTTAGGGTCCTTCAGTGGCTATTCAGTGCTATGCACTGGTACCTCAGGGCCAAATCCAGTTCACCAGGCTTTTGTGACCATCTTGCAGCCTACCGGGAACTTGTATCAGAAGCTTGATCCCTCAAACAATAAGGGGAGCTGAGAGAGTCACTATACTCCGAACACTGAGGAAACGGTCAAAATAGTTGAGAAGAGATTACAAAAACCCAATATGTGAATAAATAAATGCTTGGTGCAAACTAATTCCAAACAATATTATTTTATGGGTCATTAAAGGAAATGCTGTACAGGATTTCAAACAGTTAACGGGTAGTGATTTGGGTGTATATAACAAGAAAGGAAAGTGGCCCAATTGAACAAAGAGCCAGACAACACTGAGAAGGTATCCCTGACTGTTGTCTGTCTTTGACAGTCAGTACAAGGAAAGAGAAACTTAAAATGAAGCTGAGGTGGTCATGTGTTTTGAATCAAAACACAAGGGCAATATCCTGCACTGAGACAGTCAATGAACAGATTTGACTAAATTTGCCTCTACAGAACTTGTTGTAGCGGGTGAACTCGAGGCTACAAGTAAGGGTTGTATGCTCTTTTCAAGTCTTCATTATGATGCAAGATTTGCCACCTGGTGGTGGTCAGTGTGGTGATATGTAATCTATAGTTAGCAGAAGTTACAAAGACAATTTATAAAGTTCCTGTGTCAATGTAGGAAGCAGGTTGACGAAAGCTTGGTGTGTATGCAGTATCCCATGTGGGTCTGGCCAAGTGACAGAAATCCTTGCCCAGAAAAGTGACTTTATTCAATTGAAAAGTTGGTGCTCAATGTCACGAATCATTAGATGTTTTACTAGCTTATGAAACAACGTGTAGCCAAGAAAGGGGGAGTAGGCGACGGTAATTTAGCCAGAAACTGTTTTGATAATATTGGATAATGATAAATGTTTCATTCACTGAAATTACAGTTGTAATGAATGCAGATTTTTAAGAAGTTTAAAAGGGTGGAACAGTCAAGCAAAGTTTCGTCGTTCAGTACATGACACTTTTTTTTTTTTACCACGTACGTTTCTAAGCATTGTACTGGAATTTTGTTCCTTAGGTTCTGGGTGCTTTGTGTCTTCGGTCATAGTTGTGGTACTGCTATGGATAAATCTACCTTGAAGAATGAAAGGAATCATGTACAGTGTATTGTAAAGGTGAGTAAGACGAGGGCTTCGTGCGCTCTTTTATCGCATCTCAGAAACTTTATTACTGAGATGCTGGAAGATTGATGCATTATGCTTCTAGCTGCAGATTTAACTAGTTTCGATAAGATGTAGAGTAGTCTCTAGATGGGTTATTACATGAAAATTTATGTGATTTGATAAAGTGTCTGTTCACACTTTTCTGATGAAAAAATAAGTGGAATATACAAGAGAAAATTAATTTATTTTTGTTTTCACAAAAAAAAACACCTTTCGTTCTTCAAGGTTAGTGGGGGGGGGTGTTTCACTCATTCACTCAGACACAAAAACACACACACACACAGAGGTCTGGTAGCTGAATGGACAGCGCACGGAACTCGTAATCCTGTGGCCCGGGTTCGATTCCTGGCGCCGGCAGAGACAAATGGGCAGAGTTTCTTTCACCCTGATGCTCCTGTTACCTAGCAGTAAATAGGTATCTGGGAGTTAGCTGTTACGGGCTGCTTCCTGGGTGTGTTTGTGTGTGTGTGTGTGTGTGTACTCATCTAGTTGTACTGTTATATGACAGAGTGCAGAGTGCTGGGAAGTGGGACACCACGAGCATAACTCTCATCCTGTAACTACACTTAGGTAATTACACACTCATGCACACATTCTTTTTCTTTCTTCCCCCATCCCTCCCTCCCCTCTTTCTCTTCCCATCTCTATATCCTTTCCTTCTTTTTCCTTTCTTTTTTGCAAACATTGTAACTTTCAGTATAATGTTTATAAGCTTTAATACTTGTCAGTAATTCCTAACCTTTGCAACTGTTATTAACCCTTAAACTGCACACGGTGTATACTGTACAGTATATACACGCCAGGGCCCGATGGTACCCTAAGTTAAATTTTTCTAAGTTGTTCTAACGTCTTTATATTTTTTGTGCATAATCTACTAGGCAAACACTCCAACTTTGTCTAAATGATCATCAACGTAGCTTGAAAAATAAGAAAATTCAAAATAATTATAAAATTTATTATTGAAAATTTCAGATTTTCAGATCAGCTGCAAAAATATTAAATATCGCCAATTGTTCATTAAGTGTTATTATGCTCTCAGAATAGTATACGATCTTCATTTTAATAGATTTAGAATATAGATTTTCAGTTTAGTTTACTGTAAACAAAAATTGTCAAGATGGCATTTGAAATATGCACTAAATTCAGACAACAAAATCATAACTCAAAATGTTTAGTGTTTATGAAAAATCCATCCTAATAGGATTGTAGAACAGACAGTGGCACACACTATATGTAAAAATGGTGAGAATCGGTCAGAAACTGAATTTTTTGAAGCTGACTCAATGTTGAAACTCTAGTTTTAGAGATAATTGAAGTTGAAGTTATCGACAATGTATAAGGTAGTTCTAATTCATTAATTTACTTCTATGTTTTAATAAAAATTGTTTGGCATTCGTACTCGAATATGTGAAAGATGTAGGTCAATATGTGTTAAAATGAAGTCAAGAAAAAATAGCCCCCCAAAAAAACAAAATATAGGGATAATTATAATGATTTAGGGGATATATTTAGGGTATACTTTATATAAGTTAAAAAAGCCCTAATCTGGTCCTTAATCATCAAAACAATCTAAAGAAACAATGAAAATAGAGTTTGAAGTCTGTGAAAAAATCATTAAAAAAATTTCAAAGTCCCAGGTTCTGCCAGTTATGACCGATTTATTTGTTGACCAATTTAATTCTTTCTTCCCATAATTATGGAAAAATATGCATTCTCCTGGATGTAGAGGTTACAACAAAATCAGGTAATAAACAAAGAAAAAAAATTCCCCTAAAAAATTTTTTGAGAACATTGGTGAAAGTAACAGGTATTACTATTGAACAACGTATTTGTATGATATATAACAAAATAGGGCATAATAACATGCTTCCTCATTATTATATGTGTTATTATATATTACTCAGCAATGCTATAAAAGCACCAGCTGCATATCCACTTTATGGGCACTTCTAACTACTATTCTTCTTCCTTGTGCATCGGACATGTGCTTACATCTCCTTATTGCTTTATTATCCCTCAGTTCCAGTTAATAGGAGCTGTTCTCCTTATCAACAAAATGTTCTTCTTTTAAAAAAATTTGTCTAAAATCCATTTCTGAAAATATTGTGATGAAACTTTCACAACGCTGAAGCCAATAAGTTGGAGATTTGTTTAACATATAATATTTATTTTCACACAATTCAAATATATTTTCACTCAGCCCAAGCTTATACCCCTATTTACAGCCCAAGCTGTAGCAGTGTAAGGGTTAAGGTACATAAGTTAGCTCATCTCGGAAAAGAATGATCATCGCACTCATCCCGTATTGTGATGTAAGTTTTGGCTACATCTGCAAAATGCTGTCTTAAAATGAAGTATGGCATACTCTAGGTCAGACTGCTTCTCCTAAAGATTGCTCAATTTAATCCATATGATCATAGAAGGTTCTGGGTATAGCCTTGTTATTGCCACAAGTACAGACTTGGTGTTGTCTGAAACATTGAGCTAATTTGACAACTATGAGTATGTTAAGCTCTTCCTTTGGAGAAAGGAGTGCTTTTGACATGCAGGTTAATGTGGTCATTATAATTAATTAGGGCTAACAAGAATATTGTACTTCTATAAATACAAAGGGATTGAGGTATTTTAAATATTGGTCTAAGGCAATTACACCTACATAATAGAACCTTTACCTTGTGTTAGGTCCAGGTATCAATGCCCTTGACTCAAGCCCTAACCAAGCCTGGTTGGTTGGTTTTCTGACCATGCTTTGCCAGTGTAAGTGCTACTAAATTGCTCAATGCATTACAACTTGTTGGGGTCACAGAGGGAATACAGTTCCACAGATTTCATAACTATAAAGCACAATGGAATGCAAAATAAACAGTATTGTTGGTAACTGCTTCCCTAGAAAGTAACGTATACTAGCAAGATGTAATTTACAGCATGGTTTACAGTAATGAAAGCCAAGATATTGATATGTATTTACAGTAATTTAAACATAAGTAGTAGAAAGACGTTGAGTGCTCCATATGGGTGTCGTGGGGAGGTTGAGGGCACATTGCCATCTCACACAAGAGTTGGGTGTGCACTGTATTGTTCTTTATCAACAATAGGTCCAAATGTATAGAATATACTTAAGTAATTTTATGTATTTTATTTACATATTACAGTCAGAAAAGTAATTCTCGTTTGTTACCTTGATTGATTTGAATTTCTAGGGGTTGCCCTCGAGTGGTTCCTCAGAACTAATGCCATCTTGAAAGATTACAATGTCTCTGACTAGGCATCTCAGACGTTCTCAGCCTGGGATGCAAGGATCAGAATAATGTTCTCCCTCACAAAGGGCAGACTCAGGGAGGAGAGCCCAGACTGAAGGCAAGTGCAAGGCCAGCAGCAATCAGAAAAGGCAACTGGCCACAAGCAGTCTGGGCATACACAACAAGATGGCACCAAAAAAATATGCATGTGAAGCACGAAAGTAACAAACACAAGCACAAACATCTGTATCAGTGTTATAAAAAAAAGCTTAGAATTAAAGCTATAAAGCAGAGAGGAACTTAGAGCACCATCAGGTACATGAATGACTGGGATTGCTGGCCAAAACCTTCTGGTTGGTGGCACTGTCCTCTGATGGTGTGAGAGTGGTCCTAGCTAGTAGATAGACGAAGACAGGGAGAGTGTACATAGTTCAGATCGGGTTGATAATGTTGTCCAAGCAGTTGCCACTTTTGGTGTGTACTTCCTTTCTAATAGTCTGCCATTTGGTACAATGATATTCTTGTATCACCTGGCTTCTCTATGCCTCTTGTGAGGTGGGAAGAGAGTTTCTGGTTCTGTTCGATAAGTGCCCTTGATTTGTTAAGAGACTGATGTGGTTCTCAAGGTTTGGAAGGCAGGCATTTTGGGAAGCCACTGAAGGACCCACCAAAAAGAGGAGTTTCATTACATTTTTTTTTATTAATGAGATTTAGGCAGAGAGCCACCCCTTTTAACCATTTAAATTTTTTGTTTCTCTTTTTCTCAGGCAAGTTACAAACATTGGATCGCCTATTGCGGCAGTTGAAGACAGGCGGGCACCGAATCCTTATCTTCACTCAAATGACAAAAATGTTGGATGTTTTTGAAGCTTTCCTAAATTATCATGGCCACCTATACTTGAGACTGGATGGAACTACCAGAGTTGATCAAAGACAGGTAATATTTCTTGGACATTGTATAAGATCACAGTTCATATTTAGTCATTTATTTTATGTACAGTAAACACTCGTGTTCTGTAACTAATCTCTCAATACTGATATTGATTTTGTATCCCAAAACTGATTTAAGATATTTTAGTAAGACTTACAAGGGTGCTTTGAGGCCAAGTACAGCCATATTAAGTACACTCATTATATTAATAAAGAGGATACTTTCTTTATGAGGGACACTGTAGAATGTGTAGTGTTATGTATGTTTAACAAGTCATCTAAAATGTAATCATTGTGTATATTGGTATATGAGTTTTTGTGTGGAATGATATATGTATGCAAATTAGTTAGTTCATTTCATTTTTGCAATTGTGTATATTTTGATGGGCTTAACCTACCTTTTAGTTAAAATTCATTTGTAACACATGATCTCATTATAGAGCTCACCTCAGAATATTGTTGAAAAAGTTATAATCTTTTTGTTGCAGGTATTGATGGAGAGGTTTAACCAGGACAAGAGAATCTTTGCTTTTATTTTGTCGACGCGGTCTGGAGGTATTGGTGTGAATCTTACGGGTGCTGATACTGTCATCTTTTATGATTCAGATTGGAACCCAACCATGGATGCCCAGGTACTTTTTATTGGATTTTAATAGTAATTCCTTTAGCTCTCTCAAATGTTGTTAAAAAATGTAAAGAAGCCAGTAACTATTTGAAAACTGTATTAAGAAGAAATTAAGTGTGTGTGTGTGTTTCCTTCAGGCTCAGGATCGATGTCACCGAATCGGACAGACAAGAGATGTACACATCTACCGGCTCATATCAGAGAAGACTATTGAGGAGAATATCTTGAAGAAAGCCAATCAGAAGCGTCTTTTGGGTGATTTGGCTATTGAAGGTGGTAACTTTACCACGGCTCACTTCAAAAAGGTATTACTAGTATATCTTTTACAAATATCCTTAACTCTAAAATTGAACACTATGTTTTTAGGTGCCTTATAGAACTCCTCAAGTGACGGGACCTAGTAGTATAGCACACAATCAGATAGGAGCTTCAGGGAGTTACAAGGGACTTCCCCAATAAAACAAAATTGTTATTTTATCTGTGATCAAGGGACACATTTTAACAATACAGTATTAGAAAGGAATACATTTTGGATTTTTTCTTGCACATGGGAGCATTGTCAGCTATAAGAAGGGGCACTGCAGGTGTTAAAAATAAACAAACAAAAAATTGAATGTAAATTTTCTTTTTGTAAAATACAAATTACTGGACGTTTATTTTAGCCACCACAATTTTGTTATTTGTTGTATTTTTAAAGAGTAATAAAGCAAACCAATTAGCAAGTGAAAAAATTAATATTATTGTAGATTTTGATTATTTGTAGTACAGTAATGAAGAAATTTTTATATGTTAGTACAGTAATAATAATAATAATTCATTGTGTCGTGGGATAGGAAGATAGTTTATAAATACAGTACATGTTAGACTTACATCGAGGTGCCCCCCCCTCCCTCCCCCAGGGTCGATTTACTGACCCTACTCAGGATGCAGACCTACAAGAAGCTGAGGCACCTGTTTACTAGTGCTTAGGTGGACATGGCATTAGGTGATAGGAAACACCTGACCGTGCTACCAAGACGTGTTAGGCAGTTGATAATAATTAATATTTTAATAATTGTTAGTTAATAAAAATGACAGGCAGTTAAAAAAAATTTACATTAGTACTCAAAGCCTGGTGAGTTGCAACACTGCAAAATATGTAGTTTGTATTGTGGGTTGCCAAAGTTTATCACCTTAACCCTTTTGTGTCCCCGGTGTGTGTGCCCCAGCCCTCCCCAAGGTGGGAAGAATATTTCTTGTGAATGCGTACTCACACTAAAATGTGTGTATTCAGTTTTCTTTGAAAACTGTAATATACAAAACTGCAAACTTCTTTGCAGTTTTCTCATGTCAATTTTCATGTTATGTCATTCATTTTGGTATCAAATTGTTTGCAATAGAATACTCTGAAGGAAAATATGCATAAAAGGTCAAAAAGCCCAGCGTGCCACCCGCAGCAAACCCAAAAATCAGCCAAGCGTTACCCTGTGAGCGAGCACCCATCCCCACACCCACAACACCTGCACTAAAATGCGGATAATCTTCTCAGTTTTTGCACGTCAATTTTTGTGTTACGTCATTCATTCTGTTATCAAATCGTTTGCAAGAGAATTTTCTAAAGGGATTTCTGCATATAGGGGGCCTGACAGCTGAGTGGACAGTGCTTCGGATTTATAATTCTGAGGTTCCGGGTTCAATCCACGGAGGAGGAGGCAGAAACAAATGGGCAGAGTTTCTTTCACCCTAATGTCCACTCGCGAGTTATCCGTGGCCGTCAACTATGTCCCAGAGGACGAAAGTGTTAAGAAGGATTTAGCTTAGGTGTAGGTATAGGGTTTGTTCAGTTTATCCCTGATTCTAAATGTTCCAGACAAAGTACTCATGCCTTGGGAAACTATTTCTTCAGGAATCATGGTTTTTAGAGCTATAGTATGTCTTGGGTGAAGTGTAGTTCCTTGGTGACAGTATTGATCATTGTCTTTAATTTTCTTGAGTTTACCTCATATAATTTTTTGTATTGGAGTAATACTGTTACAGAGAACAACAATAGCTCTCGTTGGTCACTGTAATTGATTAATATAGTTTGTCATTAATTGATTAATTAATGTTGGTGGTATGATGGAGACCCTAGTGGCACACTTTGTACCGTGAAAAGGTGTTTGACCGATGTGCACTTGTCACTATACGGTCCAAGGTTAAACATTCCTTGAATGCTGGTTTATTGCTCTGAAGTTGGCCAGGCAAATATAGTACTGTAATGCTATATGCTTTTTGAGGTACTGTACTTTTACCCTCATTACAGTGGAAGAGTTGCAGGTATCTACAATAACTTAAGTACTGTAGGCATTTAGCTACAATGAAACCTTTATTACATTCATTACAAATTTTTTACATTTGTTTCTCCAGTCAACAATACAGGATCTGTTTGAAGTGAATGTGAATGAAAATGATGCTTCAAAAAGAATGTCTGAAGTTATTGAAAAGAGCAAACCACCAGATGAGGTAAGCACTCGTAATTTCATGTATTCAGTAAAGTATGAGATACGTTTTATTATATATAGTAACAACTAAGCTTAAAGATTTTAGAAAAATGCTTCATACTGCTTGCATATACAGTATATTCAACTTTTGTACTTATAAAATATTACATTACTATGCAGTGGTTACCAATAGATTTTGTATTATGATAAAACCATGAACAGCTTTTGTAAATTGTAAAAAGTATTTTTCCCAAGATAAGACACTAATCAAAATTTATGAAAACTTAAGGTGATGAGAATATATATATAACTGCAGATAATGGTTGCAGGTATAGGTTCAGTTCTTGGGGTTTTGGACTAAATTTTCAAAGGAATCCTTGTTTGTTGTAGTGATAGAAAAAAGTACAGAAAATAATTGAACATATATAAATATATGAAGCCTAAAATATATGATTTTGGAGTGGAAATATTTAAATCTAGACCTAATTTTTGCAGGTTGTGTGTCTGCCAAGTATTTTGGCAAATAAGGAACAGTTGTAGGTGTAGCATATCAGTGACATTTCTGTTACCTGTTTAACAATTTGCCAGATAACACTGGTGAAATAATTTGTCAATGCTCTCACCATATTTTTCTTAATAGGGCAAGGAAGTTACCGAGGGAGAAAAGGTGAAAATGGGAGCCTTTGAGAGTGCCTTAGCTGCAGCTGAGGATGAAACGGACGTTCAGGCAGCTAAAACTGCTAAGGCAGAAATGGCTGCGGAGTTGGCCGAATTTGATGAAAACATTCCAATTGAGGAAGGAGAAGGTAGTGAGGAGTTGAGCAAGGCTGAGCAAGAAGTTGCTAATCTCATGAAACAGGTAAATTAAACCAGTATAGTGAAAATATTCTTTTGATGTGCTCTGGAAACAAAGTATGTATTGTGGAGTGAGATTAATTTTTTGATGTTTCAATCCTAAATTGAGAGGCAGGTTGGTATTACATAAAGCTTGCACATTATTGTTTACACAATATAGGATTGTTAGTAAGTGATCTATGTTAAAGCAACCAATTTACTGTAATTTGGAAAACTGTCAAATACAATACAGTACGTTAATTTAAGAGTTAATGCATAGTTATGCATGTGGGAGAAATTACAATATAGAAGCATAGTATATTATTTATTGAACATTGTGATATTTATTATATGAAGGAAGATATTTTCTGAAGAATCTCTGTGTGATTAAGTTTGAAAGATTGTTTAATATTAAAATTTTAAGAACAAAATATCTGGAAAATATGCTAGCTCCATGACAATACTTGTCAGATATATTTATAAATAGTGAAATTAGTCTGCGACGTGATAATACAGTTTATTAAACAAATAATCTAGCAGGGAAAATATTATGGGTAAATGGTAGACAAAACAAGTATATTTGGATAGTTCCAATTTAACAAAACAATGTATAGTACATTGTTTTATGTATATGTACTATATATGACAAGAAAGTAAACTGAAGGATTATATTTAGTTGGATATTGCACAAAATTTAAATAGTTTTTACAATAAACTTGTTATACTCTGCTGTATGTACAAATCTTTCTTCAACTAAATTGATTGGACTAAGTGCAGCATTAATCCTGTATGTTTTGTTAAGAAAATTTAAAATTTTAAGAAGAAATTTTTATAATCTTTTTAACCCTTAGCAGTTATCATCAGTTGTTGATTGACAGGGTAAGCTGGTTATCATGATATCAAAGTTTACAATATTATTGTGTAGGTTTTACGTGTATGGTGCAAATATGGATATAATAGGTCTATGTGGATGTAATGTAGTTAACCTTGATCAATTAAAAAAATTATTCCATTTCATAGTACAAATGCGGTTATCATAATGTTACTAGGCCAATGCGGTCATCATCATATAACGATTAAACAATTATTGTCTGGATTTTACATGTATGTTTCAAATATGGATATATAAGCTCACTGTGGATGTAAATATAGAAAAACAAGTTATGAAACAATCGGTGAAACATCAGAGGATAAAACATGAAGCGTCGGCAAAGTCGAGCATCAGGCGTTGACAAGTGCCTCTAATCAGTGAAACGATAAATATTTACTTATTTTTGCATTTTCTTACACTCTGCATACAAATTAATAATTTTATAATGAAAAATTATTTCTTGGAAGTGTTATATTTTTGGTGAATAGACTTGTATGAACATTTCTTCATAGCTGTTGTCTAAGGGGTAATGACTCAATTTAGTCTTCTGTTGTATAATATTTATGTTGTGATTTATATTTAATATTAAAAATGTTATTTTCTGTTTATGCAGCTATCACCAGTAGAGAGATATGCAATGAAGTTCCTGGAATCTTCGGATGATGGCTGGGCAGCAGAAGCAGAGCGAATGGCTGCAGAGATTGAACAACAAAAGAAGGAATGGGAGCTTGGACGTTTGCAAGCTCTTAAGGAGGAGGAGGAGCGATTGGCACACAATTCAGATGAAGATCTTCTTACCTACACATCAGCAGATGCACACAATCAGGTCAATATCAAGAAAAAGAAGGGTAGAGGTAGGGGTCGGCCACCTTCCTCAAGCCCAAGGAGAGGCCGGGTGGCTCAACCGCGTAAGGTACCTGTATTTAAAGAACGTGCAAAATATAGGTCATCCAATGAGAGTACAACAGATTCTGATATAGACCTAGAGGATTATAGTGAGGGTGAGTGTATATCTGACTCTGATGATATGAGCAGTGGTGATGATATATTCAAACCGTCACAGAAAAAAGTAAGGTATAACAGTGAATCAAACATGGTAGATAGGGCGAGTGGTGAAACACTACAAAATTCCCGTTCCAAATCACCTTCATCTAGGGTTGTGTTTAGTAAAGTGTCGGAAGACAGTCCGCGTACAAGGTCTCGAGGACGAGTAAAAATTAATCTTTGGACATTAGACGTCAATCCTGTATTGCCTGGAGAAAGACCAATGCCTTTCAGTAGAAAGCAGTTGGCCAACTTCAGGGATCAGGGTTTAGCCATTCCAACTTCAGATGGGTCGGATTCTCCTTCCTTGAATGAAGACCGAAGCCGGAATAATAGTGGTCAGGCTGTGAATGGGGAGCTGGGTAGGGGGGAGGGGGAGGACATAGATGTAGACGTTGTGGGGGATTCTGGGGATTCTAATAATGTTGATGGAACACAAGTAGAAGCAGATAAAGGCAATAGTCTTGAGGATGTGGCTGGGGCCCTCAAAAACAATGGTCCCACCCAAATTACTGTTCAGAATGGTGGAGGATTGTGAGCTTTATTGGTTCCTACTTGGTGTTATGATTGTAATTTTTACATTATTATTTATTTTTCTATTTTTCAGTATTGTAAAGTTACTGGTGCTCTGAGAGTGTCATTAATGACTGGAACAGGATTTTATTCCCTGGAAAGTTAATAACTAAAGGAAACAAAAGTTATATATATATGACTGTGATTCATGTACATATTGTAAATTTCTTGTACATCACACAAATAAATGTCTGTCCCTGAATGAAGCTGATTGTTTTCTTGGTATACCAGTTATAAGGCCCTTTAAAGCTTGTTTTGGTGTCATGCTTATCCTGATTGCATCCATAATGTTTCCTTAAATGCACATAATGTGCTACACTTTAAGGGCAGTGTTCTTGGTCACTGCAGTCATAGCCAGCCAGGTTATTTTTAAATAACTAACTACACTCCCATGCTTGCTTATTATCCATCCATATGATAACAGAAGATTTGTGTAGTATTTCCTGACCCTATGTTTGGAATGGCAGTGGCAGTAGTATAATTAAAGTGGTTGACCCTCCTTTTGCTGGCACCAAACTGGCTGGGCCTTGCCATACCAAACTGGTCTTTACCAAGAATTCACCAGGCTCAGGGTATGCATGGCAACCAATTCATACAAGTTTGAAATGTCAGGATTCACAGTAATATATTAAATGGCACATTGGAAAGGGATTGGGTAGAAGGGTTCATTGAAGACCAGCATATGGGTGTAGGAATAGACTATGATCACCACTTGTGAGAGTATAGTATCAGGGCAGCGTAAGAAACCACATGGGAAATTTAAATGGGTAGTACAATAATGTAAAAAAATAATGGTTTATGCAATAAAAACAATATGCATCCTTGTTATCGGATGGTATTAATTCAGAATAAGAACACTTTCCATCTCGCGAAGATGGAAAGTGAGACGAGTCGCCACTCTGAGTAAGAAACTCGGGGATCACTTGACTGGCATAAATGCCTTTGGTTAGAAATATTCTCTTTTCAGAGAAAAGTTATTACTAAAGCTTTAGGTAGGATTCTCAATTTCTAAGCAAGATTAAGCACACTTGTAATCATGGTAATCTGTCTGAAACTTGCATAGGTAGGGATGGTTATACACCACTCACTCAATCTGCCCTTGTGCACTCGGCAGTCTAGTAATTGGTAACCTGAATATAAAACAATTTGGGATCCTAGCTTAAGAAATCCTGGCTTTGAATAACTTAACCAAATCTCGTGAAACTTGTGTATGGAGAGGCAAGTGTGTTCAAAAGTTCAAGCAGCAAATATCATATTTTTGAGAAAAGCAGCTGGTGTAAGCATGCCAAATAGGTATTGTAATAAATAAGTTTTGAGTGATGTGTAATAAGGAAATTAACATTTTAGCATTCTGAAGACTAAACTGTCCCGCCAAACACACGAAACTGTGACATTGCTACAATGTTCGAACAAGGTTTAACTCCTAACAAATCTAACAACCAATATAGCAAGTTGTAACAATGTTCTATGTAACAGGATGTAACAACATTATTACAAGTTGTTTCAAGGGAATCATAGGGGCTGTTATGTAGTGTTTTGTAGGGTTGTCACCCAATCCTCTTTTCCTTTTTTATTTTGAAAAAAAAATATAATGTTTGCTGTAAAAAAACTAATTCTATCTACTATGTTAAAAAAGTTCCCTGATCATGGGAAAACAATACAAAAATTAAATATGACTTACCATGGCTGTGAATGAGTGAAGAAATCTAACAATGACTTCACCAATTCGTGCTCGCTCCTGCAGTGAGCGTCCAGGTGGCGTTGTGCAGGCAATTCATTTTGCAGGAGTTGCCACAAATATATTCTTATCCATTTACAGTATTTACATTGTGTTTGACTTATTTGGTCAATTTTGTTTACTAGGGTGTCACTTGTTCTTTTATAATGTGCAGAACATCGATACGCACAAATGTGTGTGTCACGAACGTGCACTCCAAAATTGTTTATTTTACAGCAAATTTCATACGTATTCCTGAAGTTTCATCGCCATATACACTTGCACAATATAGCAGTTTACATGACACAGGCCAGTACTGCACTCTTTATAACATGTTATGATTAGTTTCTATGTCATGTCTGCCTTTGTGTTCTTACAGACTGCACACACACATTGGCCTCTTGTACTTTTCAGTAGCTGGTACATATTCAGTTTTGTGTAACAGAAAGTCTTCATGGAAAGCTTTTCTGGAGCAGCATGAGAGACTGTTGAGCTAAGAATGCCTCGGGTTATGACATGATTGCTGAACTTAGTAATTGTATCAAGACATCAAAAATAAACACACACATGTAGGTGACCTATGGCCTGATTCACCAAATATATTTTGTAACTGTTTAGTGTGGTTACATCAACAAGATGGAAAAGCAACTTAGTCCACTTGACAGTTTTACTCACTCAACAGCGCTAATAATCATGTCACATTTATCAACCAAGCTTATTTTTTTATTGTCCATGACACATTTGTTTATATTCTGGTTCCTTAGTTGCTTTGCTGACCGTGCCACAGTTCACCATCCTACCAATGTCAATGGCTGTCAACATATTTACTTCTCGCCTGTCTTTCCGGTGCACTGCAAGTGTTTTATCACTTTTTCTTATGTGACATTCACCTACTCCAATATTTATGTCAGGAACTGGCATTTCTCTCCTATGTGACTATTGTGCCTCGCACTCCAGTATTATATTTGAACAGGAGCCTTGTTAGCAAGACTGGTATAACAACTGTCCGAGTATAAAATGTGGCCCTTGTTCAACAATGGAACCATGAGTGTCTTTACTATACTGCTTGAAAAACGTGAGGATCATTAATTAGAAACTTCAATGTCGGTGGCAGAATAAAGTAACATGTCAATCACCATTCCTGTTTCTCAATCACGTAGAACAGAGAATTTCAGTTCAAATTTGTAGTGCTTGGATGGAACATTCTGCTTGAAGGCAAGATGAATAGCACAAGAATCCTTTGAATAGCACAAGCAATTCATCAGTCACCAGCTTCTGACCTGGTATATAGAAATCTTTGTACTTTGTGTTCAGTTCACTGAGGACTTGCCTCACCTTGCACAGTCTTATCATCTGCATTTTGTTTGTCACTATTCTCAAAATGAATACACCTGAGAGGTAATACCTGTCATGAGACATGTATTTTCCAAATATAGATGACAAACAATGGTCTGTTTCAATAGTACAGTACAATATTATGTTTCACTGAATGTTTTATCATCATACAGGGGCAACAAACATGTACAGTACTTCAGTTCAGTTACAGTGGTATCCTTCCAATACTGCAGTCATGAATGTGGTAATATGCCACCAGTTTCAATAAATTTAGTAGCATATCTGTCTGTTTCCTGAACAAGATGTTCCATGGGCGGCTCACCATAGTACCGATATGCCACAAAATACTCTAATTTCACTCATGCCCTTACCAGTATATGGAAAATGTCTGCAACTCCTACATCTGTAGCATCAAATGTAAGGATTTATGGAACAAAGTATGTACCATCTCCCCACATAAGTACACTCACTTTTCTGGAATCAATACCACCAATGTGCCTGTCATGTATCCCAGGACCAAACAAACTGTGTTGGCTGAGAGATGTAGCCAATCTACTATGCACACTATGGGGACAAACAGGTCAAGAAGGCAGCATTCTAGAAAATACTGGGAAAAAAAGTCCCAAATCTACACAGTAAAATAACAATATACTGGAGAAGTGAATGATATGGAAGAAAATGCAGAATAGAACCAATGAAGAGGAGTGCCATAGGCACAATCAGAGAACACTGTATAAACATCAGAGGTCCATGGTTGTTTGACATCCTCCCAGTGAGTATAAGAAATACTGCTGGAACAACCATGGACATCTTCAAGATAAAATTAGATCATTTTCTTCAAGGAGTGCCGGACTAACCGGGCTGTGGTGGATATGTGGGCCTGCAGGCCGTTCCAAGCAACAGCCTAGTGGTCCAAACTCTCACAAGTCAAGCCTGGCCTTGGGCCAGGCTTGGGGAGTAGAAGAATCCCCAGAACCCCATCAAGCAGGTATTCGTCTCTCAGTTTCACCATGTGATATTAAACGGTGGCATTTGGTTGGGCAAACAGTTGACCCAGCAGAGCTGTGCCTGGTAGCACCACGTACACTGCTATCACTAGCCACAGCAGTACTAAACTATCAGATTTCTGGTCCCCAAATCAGGAAAATTAGCCAACT